AAATCTCACCATGTAGTACGTGATGTTTTCTCAGGCGTTCGCCTTGCCTACCCTGTGAGTAGGCGGGACACGCAAGCGCATGTCAAAAACTTCCGTCAGTTCATGGGCCTTCGGGCCACTGATTCGCCGCCAACATGTCTAGTAAAAATGGATGCAGCAGGAGAGCTTGAAGGAGCGGCCCACGTGAAGTGTCGTCAGTTCATGGGCCTTCGGGCCACTGATTCGCCGCCAACATGTCTAGTAAAAATGGATGCAGCAGGAGAGCTTGAAGGAGCGGCCCACGAAGTCGGTCTCGTCCCCGAGACAAGCTTACCGAACAGGTGGCCACACAACACCGTTCTGGAGCGCGACATTCGCGAAGAGAAGGAATGCTGTCGCAGCATCCACTTGCAATCAGGGCTGCCCTATTCGTTGCACACGTTTAGTTACCCATTTGCATGTCTCTCCATGTCGTTCGACAGGCCTGCTCCATTCAGCCCCGGTAAAACACAATGGGAAGCCCTCACCAAAGAAAAGTTCCAAGGGAAGAGATGCTGTTTCGGGCAATTGGTTTGGTACAGAACCAAGACTCCTGGCAAGCGCACTCTCGATCCGAACATGGCGCCAGCGCTCTTCTTGGGTTGGAGGGTCGATCCGGGGTTGCGGTACCGTAACGTGGTCAAAGTCATGGACTATGAAGCCTTCCGTAAAGATGGTTCCATTTCCGTTCACGATGTTCCTGAACCGGAATTGTTCGTTGAGGACGGACCCCCAAGCTTTCCGATCGCAGCAGCAGCAGATAGAGCATTGCATGGTGGCAAGACAGAAGGGTCTGATCCCCCACCTTTGCCCCTGCGAGAGGCGCCCTTTGGGGCCCCACCGACTCCATCCGCTGTCAAGTCAAAATCCGTGTACATAACTGTTGAGAGGATCATCAAGTTCAAGGAAACGCCAGGTTGCCGTGCATGCACAGGTCATTCCAAGATTCACAGTGCCGAATGCAAGAAGAGGTTCTCCGAACTTGTTTCTGCAGATCGAGCTGAAGCAGCTGCAAAAAGCGCTGCCAAAACTGAATCTAAGGAACCCATTCCCATTGTTCATACTGAAGGGGATGAGGAGCTAGCCAGAGCAATCCACGCATCCGAGCATAAAGAGGATCCTAAAATAGCAGTTAGGGTAGAAGACGTTGCGCATGAATTTGATGCAGCCGAAGCTGGGGAGCCCGCTCCCTCAAGACCCGGCGCCTCATTTTTCGATACCGCGCCAGCGACAGCCGCTACATCGCAAGGTGAAGATTTTTGGGTGTTCAAAGAAAATGCCAACTGTTTGGTTCGATACCATATCATGCCAAGACAGAATCTTTTTACCCCAAAAGAGGTCGAGGATTGCCCCGTTTCCCCAGAAAGATTTACTGCAGCTCGCACCACTCGTGCCGTGTTTCAGGGGGGCAAAGCAGACAACATCCACGATGGTTGGTTTGGTAGCCGACCTAATCGCTCACTTGGAGATGCATGGACCGGGTTCACAGTGTTCAAGTTAAAACCCATTCAGTCCGATTGCGTGATCACCACAGGTGCAGCCGTGATGTTAGACTCCGTGCCGCCGACACCTCTCACCGAAGCGTCAAAGAACGGCCGTCCAGATACATTGCCAATTTTTGGCATGCCATGCAGGGCAGAGGTTGAAGCTCCGCAGCCCAAGCAGTTTGAGATAGGAAATCATCGTGCCCGCAAGCGACAGGCACGCATTGACAAGTTGCCTGTGATGTTCGAATACGCATGTTCACCAGAGTCCAATATGGGTCGCGTGTTTGAAGGTCTTGGTATACCTCATGTTAGGCTGGCTAAAGAGTTTATCGACCTTAGCACAGATGAAGGAGAAATCCAGTTGCAGTCGCAGATTGAAGGTTGTGACAAACCCAATCTCTGGGCTGCAATTCCCTGTACATCAGGTTCAGCATGGCAACGCCTTAATAAGGCCAAGTTAGGAAGCCAGTTCAAAAAGAAACTGAAGCAAAAGGTTAAAGAGTCGAGAGAGTTGTTCTCCAGATTCAGACGTCACGCTGAGACTGTCCTCCATCAGGGGGGTAGTGTTTCGTTTGAATGGCCAAGGGATTGCGACAGCTGGGCTAGGGATGATGTTTCTGCATTCTTTAGGGAATACGCACAAGTCTTCACCCCAGCGACCTTCCACGGTTGCGCCCTAGGTCTGAAGGACAGCAATGGTTATCTCATCAAAAAGCCATGGAAAGTCATGACCAGCAATAGCACCCTCGCATCCGCGCTAAGTGCATTCAAGTGTCCGCACGAAAAAGGGTATAAACACTCGCTTGCAGCAGGTAACAAGACCGCAAAGACCGCTTTCTACCCCGAAGGCATGTGTCTCACAGTTGCCCGTGCGCTGTATCCGACAGTTCAGCCCGTGGTGCCAGCGATGCCTGTCCAAGTGCCATTGCCTCTCGATCACCGGGAACGTGAACAGCAGTTGAAACACATATCCCCTCTCTCTGGTTTGGAAGATATAGGTCTTGCTGTTGAGTCCGATGAAAAGTGTCACGACATCCTTGAACAAGTTCTTGATGTTGAAAATCTCATCGCACATTCCCTAGGACAAGTCAAGGAGGAGAAGGATCCTGAGATCACCGCAATGGTGACCAGACTCTTGTCACGTGCCGAAATGTTGGCTTCTCCGGAAGCCCTTGAAGCCGTTCGACTTGAAGCCACAGGCCTGGAGAAAGCCGGTGCTTGGGATCTAAATTCAGTCCGAGAGTATGATCAAGTCGCTGCTGAGGCGCGACGATCCAGTATAAAAGTTCATTTCGGGCAGTTGATGTCGCTAGCATCCGTCAAGTTCGCCGAACTCGCGAAACACCTTCAGAAGATGAAAGGTAGGATTGTGTATCGCGGAGACTGTGCGAAAGACGAACATGGCGCAGCAGCCGTCTACCAAGAATTGGGAGCAAATCCCACGAGCGTACAAGGTCTTAATAACTGTCTCGCTTATGGATCCCTGCCAGGGAATTCCACCACAACAGCGGACGCTATAAAGGCTTATGTGCAAGCACTGCTGAAATCCAAGTACCAAACTTGGATCACACTCCCGCCTGAGCTCCGGCCAAGGTGGTGGCGCGAGCGTTTCGTGAAACCTGTGGTTTTGCTCGTTAAAGCTCTTTATGGGCATCCTGACGCTGGCGGACTCTGGGAGGCACACCTCAAAGGTTTCATTAGTGAACTTGGAGGGCGTGAGGTCGCAGAGTTTCCTGGAAACTTCTGGTTCAAGGAGTCCGGGTTACTTCTCTCGACATACGTCGACGACTTGACGTTGGCCGGCCCCAGCCACCTTCATAAAGACTTCTGGGAAAAGTTAACAAGACTGGTTGATATAGAACCCCCAGAAGACATATATCGGGTGCTAGGCAGGAATCACCTTTTGATAGATGCTCCAAAGGACCCAACTGAACCCGATCTTAATGCCGCAATGGGCAGATTGAAAGGGGGCATGGCGTTCGACATGCGGGATTATGCCCGTCAAACGGTTGCATTATATCTTGAGGTTGCACAGCTAAAAACTGAAAAGTTGCGTGATGCCACCACTCCATTCTGTCCCGCTGGATCCCTTGATCCTGCAGATGACGCCTTGGAGGGTGAGCTCGGCTTCGCCGCATGCCGCGTGTTAATGAAAGCCTTATGGCTCGGCCGGTTGGCACGCCCAGACCTGGTCAAGCCCATTGGCGACCTTGCCTCATTTGTTCAGAAATGGTCTAGGAACTGCGATAAGCAGCTACATAGGCTTGTTTGCTACATTAACAGCACGGTCAACAGCACGCTAGTCGGCACAGTTCAGGATTCGACTGATGAGTTGCACCTGTCTCTCTATGTCGACGCCGATTTTGCTGGAGAACGAGACGCAAAATCAACGTCCGGAGGATTCTTGACTTTGAGTGGTCCGCATACGCATTTCCCCCTTGCGTGGGTGTCTAAAAGGCAGACCTCGGTCTCCCGATCGACAACCGAGGCGGAGATCGTATCCCTCGCATACTCCCTTTACCAGGAGGCGCTTCCGGCGCTCAGCTTATGGGAGCTGATCTTGGACAGACCATTCCATCCCAAGATCCACGAGGACAACCAGGCGACTATCCTCGTAGCAAAGAAGGGTTTCTCATCCAAGCTACGCTGTGTCCAGCGCACCCACAAGGTGAACCTCGCGTGCATCGCAGAGCAGCTTGAAAGCGAACATATCTCGATAGAATACGTCCAAACCGACATGCAGTCAGCAGACATCTTCACGAAAGCACTTCCACCCAACAAGTGGGACCATGCCATCCGGTTGCTCGGCATTCGTGTTGACCTTCCAGAGAAGCTTGAAGACGTTCGTGAAAGTAGATCCGCTAAAGCAGCTGCCTAGCGCGCTGCAGCATGTCCGCAAAATTTCCAAAAGTGTGCAAAGTGCCTGGGCGATGCTTGAATAACTTGCGTCAGTCGCTGTGATGTAAACTTGACTTCAAGTTGGCGTGGTAATGCGCCCAAGACACTCCCTCAGTGCCGTCAATGAGGGGGGAGTCAATTATCACGATGACATTTATGGCCCAGAGGTACATGAGGTAGGTTCTCATGTAGTCAGTTGCATGTTGTACATTCAAGTCAATGCCTGAGCATGACCCAATCATTGCTTTGGCTCAAGTGCTGAAAAGAGCGCGTTGCTCGCGCTTCCCACAAGGTTAAGGGAGAGGTCGCAGTCACGGAGGGGTTCGTTCCTTTTAAGGTCCCGGGTTCCCCCGTTGTTGACAAAACTGTGTTTCCCTCTCCTTTGAGTAATCAATTGCGAACCAGAGGAAGAATACATGAGTCACAATCAAAACCCGGGTAGTAAGGGACAGTCCCAACGATAAATAGTTGCGGCCGCCTTCCGAATTCTTTACATGGTTCCGGGTCGACCATTTTAATACCAGGTTTTGATTGTCACTCACATGCTGTTTTCAGGACCACGCCGGGTTGGGGTGTGACATCCAATCTTCCGGTGAGGTGGAGATGGCTCGGCACCTGACGCGGGGCGGCGGCGAGCGCGCGGCCCGGGTGGTGAACCTGTGGGGCAAGGCGCGGAGGCATTTGCGCTGCGTGTCGAAGCTGGGCTTTCAGCAGAGTCCAGGTTTTTGCGTCATGATCCCCCAGTAGCGCCCTTTTACCATGTCTTTGGAGGACCTAGGTGTGCCAAGTAGCCAAGCAGTTTTTTGATTTGGCTTACCCCAAGGGAAACCAAAGGATGTGTACTTTGATGGTTTTTCCAGACTCCCTCTTTTGCAGCCAGGCTTGGGCCACCTATGCCGGACGGCTCCCATGTTTTTTTTCTCACAGAAGCCATGCTTCGCAAAAAGGGGCAGGGGCTCGGGACGAGTTGGATCACATGAGGTGAGCGGAATGTCATGATGCGAAATCGAGAGCCTGGTGCCGAAAAGCCGATTTCTCGGGGTGGACAGGCGATTTGGCGACCAGCCCGGAGTGCAGAATATCTTTGTTTCCCTTGTTTATGAGACGGTTTTGCTTTTTGCTAGAATGAGGCCAAGGGGAACCCAGGAGCAATAAATCATGGAACCCAGAATGCCCCTCTGTTCGATTTGGATTAATAAGTTGGTGTCCCATTTAATTCGGAAGGGGATCCGGATCAATGGAAGAAACACCCCCTGAACAGCAAGTGCTCTCTTTCAGATACAAAAAACAGATGACCCAAGACTAAACGTCAGGGATGAAAAGAGATGTTTCCTGGAAAATCGAAGAATCCGGGCGAAACTCGGGCACTCGCGGCACTCGCCTATCAACTCTAAATAGATCCAAGCAGGGTTTATTTGTCTTGGGCTTTCATCCACAAAACCCCCATCGAGTTGCAAGAGGAATCTTTTCGGGGACCCCCGTTTTGGTTTCCCTGGAAATTTGCAGGGCTGCTTTTGTGAAAGGCTTCCCCCCCCCCCCCAAGAAACAAAAATGAAAAAAGAGAAAGGACCGACTGTCCCATGGTCATTTCCAAGGCCCTCTGTTCAACACCCCCGGGTTTCCCGTTGACGGCAACCCTAAACGCCCTCTCTTTCCAACTGACCCTAAAGCCACGGTTGTAAGGGGCCTCCGTGGCCCCCTCACACGGAGGTCCCCCGAGGGTTGCTTTCCGTCTGGGGTCCAAGACCACACCCAACTCGCTTGTGGTCTCCTTGACCCCCAAAGCTGGAACCCTCCAACCTGGCGCTGGGAAGACCCCAACGCTTTTCAGCTGGCAAGGAGAACATGGTGGACGCCAAAGGACACAGGAAAGGAACCCAATGGACGCCAAAGGAAACCTTGAAGGAACCAGCTTTCAGCTTTCAGATTCTAATTTGTATTTTGGTGGACACCAGCATCATGTTGGGCCAACATTTTTTTGAGAAGCACCTAACTGAACAGCAGGATCACCTTATCGCCTTTTTCTCGCAGTGTCCAGGCTTCGGCTCAAAAAAGAAACGGCCCGCGCCCAGGCGCCGGGCCTGGGGAAGACGGCCATGCTGGCCGAGTTCACCCGGTTCTGCATGTACCCAGGCGGTTTCGGGGCGAAGCCCCGTGGCCGGGATCCGGCGAGCTGGGCGCCCATCAAATGCCATGAACGTTTTTGTTTCTTCTTTTTTTTCTTTTGTTTGTTTTGTTTTTCTTTCTTTTGTTTGTTTTTCTTCTTTCTTTTTTTTTCCGGGCGCATCCGGTCAGGTGGACTGGGTGCCTTAAAAAAAGCCATGAACTCCGGTGGTGCCCGGTGTGTTTTCTTTCGTGTTTTTTGGGCGGGCTCGCTTGAAAATCGTCGCCCACATTCGCCCACGCACGCTGCCTTTGTCAAAAGTTCCTTGAAGTTGCTTGCCTCTTTTCCCATGTCCGCTGGGGCCTTGTTGGAGGGGTTTCTTGTTCGCACCATGCACAGCAAGGAAGTCGTTCTGAGCGGGGTAGGGTGGAAAATCACCTGGCCCTTATCTAAGTTTACGTCGCCTGCACAAAGCAAGCCGATTGTTCAACGCCTTTTTGGTTGTCCAAATTTGGTGTTAGTGTAGCGATTCAAGGTTCCGAAAGCTTCGCCTTGTTCAGTGCCCTTCGACACGGCAGGGCACCGATTCCCGCGGATGTTTTAATAAAATCGGAAGCGAGGGAGGGAAACTTGACTTTGCTCCCAGCCATCCCCCCTCTGCTTTCAGGTTTAGGGTTCAGTGGTCGGATTTCCATGTAACCCACTGAATGTTAGTCACCTTTTGACGGGGATCAGAAAACGGAGAGCTCAGTTTACTTGCTCTGCAAGAACCCTGGATAGGCCGTTGCAAGACGGAACCTGGGTGTGTCAGTTTGCTCATGGCTTTACCTTCCCAAGGGCTGGCGTGCAGGACGTGTATAGAATCTGAATGCAGTCTTCGGTTGGCTTTGTTTAAAGCACCATAAAGTGGATATATCCGGCATGTATCTCAAAATAGGTCTCTTTGAGATTCACCAACCTGTGCGGAATTCCCAAAGGAATCCTCCAGAGGGCCTGCCGTAAATCACATGGATTCCCATGGCGAAGGGCCGATGAGAAGCAACCTTTTGACCTTCCACAGCACGGCAATCCATTGAGCGATGTTTTCCAGTCTCCTAGGTTCGGCAGTTTTATGCGTGGCATGGACTGGCTGCCACGAATACCTCCACGAATACCTGTGTGTTTTCTCGTGTTTTCGCCCACAGCTTAGACCAGCCCTGTCAATGGCGAAGTTCAGCCCCAGTTCATTGCGTAGATCCTTCTTTGTTGGGTCGACTAGGTTATTACACCATGGTCATCTAAGAGGGGGTTGGCTTCTGTCGACATGGTCAGTATCCAGCGGCTTGGGCAAATGAAGGGTCGGCCTGTTGATGTTCATCTGGTTTGTGCAGAGGAAGGACTCGTCCTTTGTTTCCTTCTATTTGCCATATCAAGGATGTCTTGCTTTTACCCCTTTGGATTAGCAGGTATACGTGATTCGCCAGTACGGGTCAAATCATGTCGAATCATGAGGAGCTCACCTACGGGTGATTGAAGCGCTCACCTACGATGCAGGTCCATTACTAGGGGTTGTCCCTTTTGTGAGAAGGAACCACAACATGGCGTTGTGCTACCTTTGGGGTCTTCGAACGGCAAACACATTCAACCCAAGAATCATCACCCAACAAATGTTCTTCAAGTGGCAAATGGGTGTGCGATTCGAGGGTAACATACCAAGCCAAAGGATTCAACCGGGGTGAGTTCCCTCGCAACAACCGTAACATCTTGCATCAACAATCCCCGAGGCCATGCATTTCGCATAGTTTCATTGGCAGGTCTGGAAACCAGGGGGTCCCCTCGCGAAGTCGGACAGAGGTGGAATCAGGTGGAAGTTCTACCGAACATTCGCCCAAGCTGAGGTCAAGATTGTTGGGCAGACTTAGGTGACATAGCCAATATATATATATATATATTTAGGGCATGGGTTAGTTTGCTGGTTTTTGTGCAGACCTATTGATAGCATTCAGTCCCATGGGATGTCCGGAGAGGCCGGGTCTTCGAGGGCGCGGCCATTTGGGTGCCGCTGCCGGCGCCGGAGGTGATGCCAGGCACGCGACCGTGCGAGTGGTTTGCGTCCAGTTGCTTCCTTCCAAGTGGAGGGAAGCTGATGATTCCTTGGTGGGACGGGGGAACTGTAGGGAGCCCATCTCGACCATCCTTCCATTTGCTTAAGACTATTCTTGTGACTTTCACTTTGAAATATTGGCGTTTTCTCTCCGGTTTCAATCGGGAATCAGTCACAACTAAAAGTATTGTCTTTTTTGCTGGTTTCTCCGGAGGTTGAAGCAAATGGAAGTTTGGTTCTTGGCATGTCTTAGGTCTCCCAGTAGGCCCTTTTATCCTTTTTTGGAGGAGGGTTCCCCTACTAAAATAGGCTGCAGAAAAAAAAAGGTTCCCTTATTCTAACCTCTCTACTGGAGGACCTAGTGTCTCACGTTTTTGTGTGGTGTCTTTCTTTTTTTCTGGTAGCCATTAATGCTTACCTTGGGTTACGCACAAGGAACCGGTTTTCCTTTGTAGTGACTTCCCTATAGGGATTATGGATTAAGATTGGCCAACCCTCCATGTTGCCCAATTTTTGGTTGGGCTGCAAAAAATAGTGCTTGTTGTGGACATCCAGATAGAAAGGTAATTAACACACCCTTCGGATTCACACGGGGTCATTCCAAAGAAAACAACTGGGGCAACATGGCTATGAGCTGGTCTCTTATCCAGTGGTTTCTTTTGTGGTGTGGGTTCATCCCGCTAAAGCGGAACCACAGCACCTGGGACCCAATTTGTGGTTCTAAAGGGAAGCCAATGGGAAAACCGACAAGTCATGTTGGGTCACCCGTCCACTTTCAAAGTCACTTTGGGGAGGGGAGGAGGGTTCCATTTAAAGCACAACAACATGGTGGGTTTCCTGCTGGTTTCCCTTTAAACCCACCTCAAAAAGGGTACCATCTAAAAATCCTCCTCACGTGAGAGGGTAATTTCAAAGATGCCATTTTAATGGACCCTGTATGCAATATGGTTAATGATGGCACAAGATCGGTCAAATCCCGACTTTTTCACCGTGTGTGTTTTCGCCAAGCAGTTATTCATACGGGTATGTGTCAACATAGGGGGGACCCTATAGATTAGTTTTCCTGTTGGTTTCCCTCTAAAAACCACCCCAAGAAGGATACCGTCAAATTTCACGCCCATATTCAGCTCCTTTGAGCAAGTGAGTGCTTGAATCACCAACGGCTGGCGGCCAGAACTTAATAACTCGAGGAAGTTATATCCACCAAGGAGTACCTCATTTTTTGCTTTTTTTTTGGGGGGGGGGGGGGCGGGTGCTTGGGAAAACCCACGGGGAGCCATGGGCAAGTAATTCCAAGTTTGCAAGGGGTGTCGGAACCCACTTCCTGAGTTCATGGAGTTCATTTTTTTGGGGGGAAGACCATTCTAGCGGCAGCAAGCACTTTAAACCTTTTCTGGCCAATCCACTGGGGGAGTGAGGACTTCATTTTTGTTTTTCGAAGACCATGTTAGTGGCACAAAAGTTTAGACTTGTTCTGGCCAGTCCACTCAGGAAGTGAGAGAAAGGTTTGGAGTAGTGGGAAAAGCGAAATGAAACCACTAGTGGATTTGGATCCGAGGAAAATGCCTGGGATTTACTTGCTTTTTGAAACCCCCTAATAGGGCAAGTTAGGCTCAAGGCGTTTTTTTTTTTTTCCCCCCCCCGGTACCCCTCATAATATGTCAACCCTTAAAAGGTGAGTTTGAACCACCAAACACCTCCTGAAAAGCGCCTTCCTTCGGGTGTCAAGTGGCACCCCTTGGCATCTTGTTTTGGGATTTGTGGCTTGACTTCGTGTTCTCCACAGGTGATACGGGGATAAAGGGAAGGGGCAAGTGCAGCACTTTCCTATCTCCACATCGTGGCGGTGAACTGTTGGATTCTTGACGGTCAGCAATGTGAAGTCTGGAGCAGCTCATGGCCAATGTTGGCAGCTAGCCAGCAAAATGATGGATGGTTGTTTTTGATTTTATGGCTTTGGCTCAAAAACAGTACCAAAATGGCACCCTGGTATGTAGAAACATGGACCAGCCATAAATCTATACACATCATTTAGGGGGGTGGTGTATGTAGGATTGTTGGCACTGTTTTGGGGATCAAGCTTCTACCCTGCAGGGTTCCGCAGAGCGAACACGCTCGGCTCTCACAACATATCAAAACACACGCGAATGTGAGGGGTTTACTTCAATCTTTGGGTCTGTCTTATACTACAGGAATTGGACCCCCAAAGTTTCGCAACGGCTTTTTGTTGGTTTCCCTTACGAATGCACACAGGGTATTTTGGAGCCCTCAAACTACACATAATCATGCAATTCCTATCTTTTTTTGAGGCGTGATTTTTAATTTTTCAGGGTCCGGCATATTGATATGGAGCCCTCAAACTACAGGGAGAAAGAAAAAAAAAACGGGATTCCTGTCTTTCGGGGGGTGAATCGAACTCCCGTTTTTAAAAGGTCCTTGGGTCCGGGTAGCTGAAAAAAACGCCGCCTTTGCCGCGTCGCCCGCGGGAGCTCCCTGAGGGCCCCTGCCTTTGAGCCGCGCCGTCTCGGGCACGGACGCCTCCCAGCGGGGCGACCTCTTCCTCCAGGAGGCGCGGGGCGGAAGGAGGACTTCCTTCGCTCACTTCGCTCGGTTGGACTTCCCTTTGGTGCATTTTGCTTGGATTGATGTTAGGACTTTAACTTTTTGATCCAACTAGTGAAACGGTTTTCCATGAAACCACTAAAAGTTAAGCTGGGTTTTCCGTATTAACCCACTAAAAGTTGAAAACTTTCAGCAGGGCTTCGCAGAAAGCAAACGAGTTCCTTCTTTGGCCCCCAAATGTTCGAGAGGCCGCGCTCAAAACAGGAGCTGTGATGGCGGTTGGGAATGCGGGGCAAAGAATGTTCTAGAGCTCCAAATACTAGGTCCCCCAGCCAGGTGCCCTTTGTTTCTTCTTCCGGTTGGGAGGGTTCCCCTGCTAAAATATTGTCTACAGAAAAAAGTGGGTACCCTTATTCGAACCTCTCTACTGGAGGACCTAGGTAAGCTTGCGCAAGACCCTGAGAGCTTCAGAGCTTGGATGAAGTCAAGCCTTTCGGTTCCTCACCTAGAGGCTTGGCTGCGTGTGGTAGAGAATAGAGGCTTGGTGCAGGGAAAGTGACCCTGAAATGCTCCAATGGTTCCAAATCCCAGGGTGTTACACGGTTGTAGCTGGAGATGCTGATGTAGGAAGGTGACTAGCCATGTCGCTCTTCTTGGCTGGTGAGAGGAAAGGAATGAAGGGATAAAACTCCAAGAGATACAATTTAAATTAAAGAGATAGAACACCAACATAACAGTGGATAGAATATAGGATCTTCTATTGGATCAAAGAAACATATATTAAAATGAAGGTCACCCAACCGCTGTTTCCAAGAGTTTGGGATAGACGTGGTGACAGAAACCACAAGATCTGACAGGTGGTGAGAGGTTTGGCGGATTCATAAGTCCACCTTCATCGCATCATGTCGGTGTCGTGCTATTTTTGTTCGATTGGTCCGACTCGCATGGTTTATCAAAATGAGTTTTGGACCCCTTTTCGGATGGGAAGTCAGAAGGAAGCCCACTTACACCAAAGAGCTATCTGATCCTTAGCTCTAATGCTCTAACCCTCCTTGGCAGGGCCGCCAACAATGCCTTCGTCCCCCGGCATTTTCTACCTCATGGTTAATTAATCAATTATGCGCTGGAACGACAATATGATGGAGGCTTGCCAATTTCCAGGAGTAGTAGATGGGATGAGTTGCCGCGAGCGAAGGCAACGATTGGGTGAGCAAGGATTCTTGGTCAGATCGAATGAACAATCCACAATGAAATGCTATTGAAATACTTCCTGTCCTAAATGAGATAAAGGGATGGTGAATGAATGACCAAGAAATGAACAAAATGGAATGTCCTTGAATCCAGCGTAGAATTACATTAGATTGAAAGTGATTCATGGTCATCCTCTTTCTTCTTCCTTCCTCTCTCTTGCTCTCTTTCTCTCTCTCTCTCTCTCGCTCCCTTTGTTCGCGAGAAATCAGAGAGGAGGAGAGCCCGTCCATTCTCATCTTGTTTTACAAGTAGCGGTCTCTTGGTATTTTCGCCTGTCGGCGCAACCCCGAGAGCAGGAAATAAGGAAAGGGGAATGTTGGACCTTCCTTGATTGGCAGTTGAACTCAGAGAATGATTGTTTGTCCATCTCTTTCCCTTTCCCCATCTCCTTTTTATTAACTCATCTCAACACATGAAAAAGAGATGGACAGGGAGAGGGGAAAATAGGTGGGGAAGGGACATAGGTGGAGAAAGGAGAGGACATGTCCAACCGATAAGAAGCCGGCAAGTAAGACTACATTGGGTTCCAGGACTGTCAAGGGTTGCTCCGAGCCTCAAGCCGACCGTGAATTTGAGTTGGTGGCCTTTTTCAGGTTGCCCTGAATTGGCGGTTTGGATTGGTTTGGGGGTTTGAAACCCTGGTTCTTGCAGAGAGCACATGGAAAACCAGCCCCAGAACACCCCCCAAAGCACCAATCCAAACCACCAATTAGAGGGAAGCCAATTTTGGGGGGATGGTTTGAAGAGAAGCCACAAAGAAACCAACCATTTTGGGGGGTGCTCCAATTTCGACATACCCTGGCGAGGTCCTTTAACAGGCTCAACAGCAGACGTTGCCAAGTGTGTTGCATACCCAAACGGCATTTGTCCCTAGCAAAGTTGCTGCTCGGTGGTGTGCGAACCTACCCTCCAAAGGGTCCCCTCACAATAACACCTCGAGCGGGGGGGGAGCCAATGATTCTCTGAGCTCCGCTCGAGAACCTGAGATGTCCCTCTCGTGCGTCAGGTGTCCTCTGCAGTGATGCCCGGCGAAAGTTTGGGGCTGCAGGTGCCCGCTTCCCCCTAGTCTGGCTTCCGAGTCACTTCCTCACTTGACTGCTATTGGGTTGGATCTTTAGACTTTCACTTGTTGGTTGAAATCGAGGGGTTTTCCACTAAACCCACCAACAGTTGAACTTTCTGCAGAGGGGTCAACAGCAACCGAGCTGAGTTCCTGGACTGTTGTCACTTTTGGGGAAGACCAAAAGAGTGTTAAACAAAATGTTTGGGAGCTTTTTATGGGCCATCCACTCAGGAAGTGAGGATTTGAAGACAAACTCGGTGCGAGATTTGGGTGCGCGGTTCCATTCTTCGATTCCAGCTGAGTGCAAATGGTTAGCCCGTATTGTTTAGTTCACCCAAAGGGCAACGGCAACTAACCTGGGATGGGTGTTAGTTTTAGTTTTTCTGGACTCGCTAGTTAGCGGCAGGCCAAGGAAGACTTAAACCCAAGACCCCAAGGATGGTTGATCTCTCCAACAGGCAACACTCTGCGTTTCGGTCTACCTTTGGATAGTCAACAAATGGAACCCTGGCTGGGTGTGTCTCATTTGTGGGAGTTGGTTCCCTGTCTGAGTTCGGTTGAAAGGGAGACGGGTTACATGGTCAAACTGGTGGCCCAGCCTTGCATTTGACGCGGGATAGGCACAGCGATTGCTACCATTCCCCAAACAAGGCGTGCAAAGTCCACAGATGGGTGAGAGCATGTGGGTTTGCCTTCTTGTTGATAGCTTGGTTTGAAGCTTGTCAGGGACCCCGACCGCTACTAAAGCCTTACTTGGCCCTACCTTGGGGGTGCCAAAGTTTGAGATGCCTTTGGTGCTTCCCCGATGTACGAATTGCACCTTAAAAAAACAGAGGCTGGACAGTGGGAAGCCCATTGTTCCAGGCCCTCCCATCCTTTGTCTTTCGGGTTCGAGTCAAGCCGTTCCTAAAAGATGATTAAGTCGATTTGGTGGAGAATTGGTCTACGGTTTCGTTTGGTGTTCCTTGCCTAAAGTTCCACAATTAGGTGATCGGGTCTGCCCGGGGCCCAGAGAAATGTTCGTAGTGTTTGTCGGAAATGGCTGGCCCGGGTTTGTAAGTGGACATGTCCGGACTGGACAGGGGTGCTGGAAAAGATTGTCCCTTTGTGGCCTCCAAATCTGATTATGCGGCTATGAATCTTAAACAGTAGTTGATGGACATGAACCCCATCTAAATGACGTCCACCAAAGGTCCCCCTTGTAAATTCACACCCAAATGGGTAGACCATGAAACCAGGCTTCCCCTTGGTTGTTCTTTGAAACACACCCAAAAACATGGTTTCATCAAAAGAAGAACCCCCATGGCCTCCAGCATCAGCTCCTATGTTGACTCACACACCTGGAAAGACTGCCAACTAACGGAATCCGATAAAATACATGCGCGAACAGAACAAGCTGCGCCCATATCCTTTGAGACAAAGCCAGTAAGACAGATGGTGTTGCCCTTACATCTTGTTTAGGGTACCCTCCCGAACAAAGATAGAAATCCACACCCCCTTGTTTGAAGATTACTTTCCTACAACATCCTGGAAAAGGTGCACAAGTGCATTGAGCACTTCTCGCCTCGTGTTCATGGCACCACAAAGCCCCTGTTTTCGGAAATCTCTGAGGAGCGATTTCCTGGAACAGGTGCACGGGCGACAGACGCTTGGTAAGAACTTGAGAGGAGAACCCAATGGCGATCAAACGAGAAGGGGGCCCCGAAAGTGAGTTTCCTGCAAAATGAGGGCGTCGTGGGGTTCGTGTTATTTTGCTTGAGTATGTTCACAAGGATCGAAGTTGGTCAGGGCTAAAACAAAGGAGGGGGTCGACCCAGTTTGAGTTTTGAAGATATCTTGATATCTTGCACATCTCTGGACCGGTGCTGCTGCTTATAACCCTCCTTACTACCCACCAGAGTTGGCCTAGAAAGAACCTGCGCTCAAAGCGAATCGACCTGAGGCCCTTTGGTGCCACAAGGAGGCATATTTGTCGATGCCGTTCTACAAGAAGAGGAAATTACCCTAAGCCTGGTAAACTGACTTCTCCAAGGCCGAACGTTCAGTGTTTATTTTTTATGTGTTGTCTTTGTTTATCGGTGATCCTGGTATTTGAGCCAGCAACAAAGCCTGGGGAGCAAACAAACATACGCCAAGACAAATGGACATGTTTGAAGTAATGGGTCCTTCAAGTGATCCATAAATAGGATCTGCCCGCGCGCGCCTGAAGACCAAACCGAGGGTTTTTCGTTGACAGGTCAACCCCGTGCCCGACTAAACGGCTGCGTGCTTGGCCGCGTACAAAGTGCTTGCGAGCGGTGACTCGTGGCGATGCCGTCGCGTTCTACGGGGATGGTGACACATGCTCAGCATCAAGGCTCGCAGCTTCGCGAGCGCAAAGACTGAGTGGCGCCGCAAGTTTGGCCACCTGGAAGGCCGGGCCAGGGTCCGTCGGCCAGCTGCTGGAGTTGGTGCACATCCATCCCCTCGAGCCCATGGAGCAAGATCGGTGTTCCCATCTCGGAGCTGCGATCCCATCTCGGGCAGTTTGGCGCGGCGAGAAGAAGGACTGCTAGCTCCACATTTGGTGCAAGATTGTCTTCCGGCCCGAAGGACGCACTTTTCTTGCGGCAGCACGGATTGTACACGTTGGTGAGTTGCCTCCTGGTGGGCTGCATGTTGAAGGGGGAATTTTTCCGAAGGTTGGCTGGTGACTTTAGCCCAGAAACAGCTCTCTCATGCATCAAACCACCTGAAAAGTTCATCTAAAGCCAGTTTCCGATCTACATTGCAAGGGCGCCGTTTCCCCATTGTCGCCTGTTCAGCAAGTTCAAACAACCTATAACCTAGTTCTGTTTGCTTCCACCATTACTGCAGGAGCCCTCCCTGCAAAACCTTTGCCAACCAGTTCTTTGGTGTGTGTGTGTGTGTTTCTCTTTAATCCAAGCCAGTGAGGCATGCCCTTTTTCCGCATTCTTTGGCGGTGTGGGTTTCTCTCAACGCCGAAAGCTAATCTCCGCAATTAAGGGCATTCTCTTCTGGGTTGTTTGGAGGATTGGGCCGGTATGTGCCCCTCACAGGAAAATATCCTCCACAGGTCCAAGGAAGCCACTGGAAAACATCCTCCGTGGTTTCTGTCGGCGGAAGCAAAAGATGTCATGCTCTCATCGATTCGCTTTTGCATTGAAACCAAGCGGCCTTTGATAATTGACGTGGGCATGTGTAAAAAGAGGACCCCGCACTGGCGATGTTCCGTTAAGAAACCTCAAACGCTGCCCTTGAGATGGGCGGCTGGCAAACTTTCACCCTCAGGGGCCAAGCCCCAAAGTGTTCCAGTTGCTTCGGGCCTAGGGAAAGACGTGGTTTTGACCATGGCTCATGTGCCAGCAAAAGTAGAGCTTGGGTAGATAGACTCCTTTACCAGGTTTTCCTTCAAACCAATCTGACAAGGGCAAGCTTCACTGGAATCGTCCTTGGTGTGACCAACTCGCCCCAAAATGACCTTTTAGAAGCAACTGATTTTCCATTGAACCTACAAAAGGTGGATCGCGACCCTTGGATCTATCGGGGAGAAACTCTTGAAAAAGCGCGTTAGTCGCCATGTCGCCGTGCATTGGCCCTTTTCAAGAGCTGGTTCTACCTTGGTTTGTGGGTTTGAGGCCAAACCCAAAGCTTCACTTTATGGCTATCTGTTTGGATGTTTCGACTTCAACTTCTTGGGAAACAGCTCGGATGTTCCGAGCTGGACCCAAGAAAGGCACTTGTTTTTTTTTGAGAGGGGGTCGTGGCAGTAACCAAGTTCATGACCAAGTGAAAACTGTGTGGTTCCCAGCCATCCCCTAGGTTTTTGTTTAGGTTTTTAGGGTTGAGTGGTCGGATGTTCCGAATTTTATCCACCAAAAGTTAGATCCTTTTCGCAGGGCATCTGAGCACGGCCCGGTAAACCAAACCTAAATCCCCCAGTAGTGCCCTTCTCTCCCCTTTTTTGGGTTGGGAGGGTTCCCGTACTAAAAAATAGACAACAGAAAAAATAATCCGATACCCTTATTCTAACCTCTCAGATCTAAAAGACCTGGCCAAGATTCCGAACTCCGAGGTCGGCCCTGGACTCTGCGGAGGCCCTCATCTTCGCCTTGCGCAGCCTGGAGCGCGGGAGCTTCTCCGCCGGAGCCGGAGCCGGCGAGCGGGGCGGCCGCGTGCTGCTGGTGCTGGACAGGGGGTGGTCCCGGGGGACGGGGAGGGGGGCATGGACGTGGACCTTTGGGCGCAACTCGTTCTTGTTTTCCCCTGTTGCTTTTTGCACGACATGGTAGTTGTTTGTTTGTTTTCCTCATTTTTTTGGCCGGGGGGCCTTTGCAACACAGCAGAGTGGCATTGTTTCGCCATGGCCACTGGGTCTGGGTTGAGCAATGGTGAAGATTTGCTGTCATGAACTGTGGTGAAGGGGATCTGACTGTGGCTCGGACGGGTGTCCTTTTTTCCAACTTCTTATTGGTTTCCAGGAGCCAAGATATGCTGAAACCAGATCCTGGTTCCGCCAGGGAAGCTAAACGGAGGTAAGTAGTTGAATGAGTAGTTGTGCCCCTGTTCTTTGGCTGGCATTTGGTTGCAGCAACCTTCAGCTTTTTGGGAAATGCGGTCCCACTCAAAGCATTGCGCACCTTTGAAGTAGTTTGCCTTTTGTTCCAATTTAAAGTCACGAAAACAGGGGTTTGGCCAAACCACGATTAGAGCACTTCACGAGTTCCTGGACATGATGTTTTTTGAGAGGGGCACTTAAGTGGAGCTTTTTGGCCCACCCACTCAAGAAGTGAGTGTGTGTGTGTGACCCTTTGTCCAATAAAAATAACCACTTCCGTTCCATGCTGGCCTTGCCAGAAGGGCCCCGATATTTAGAATGGGGTTGGCGGGTAAGTCTAGCATCCAAATAAGATTCCTTTCTTCGCCCCTTCCGTTATGTACTTCTGTGGGTTCTGGTTCTTTGTTTGATGACGAGTATTTGGGTCAAGAATAAGCATTTTGCATTGGATTACCTGCAGCATGTGGTCACACAGCTAGTGTGGGACTTTGGTGTAACAAATTTATTCTCTGTTTTGGACATATTCCATGTAGTGATTACCCCCAAACAAGTAACACCAAGGGTTTTATGTACAGGACCCTGGATTTGACCCATAGGTGGTCCTACCTGGCTGAAGAAGAACCACGCTGAGCGCAAATGGCGCTCAAATAGAACCAGATCCTTTGGTTGCAGAGTTTCTTTCCGCTGGCACCTTGGAAGGGTCACCCTCAGCCCGGCACGCAATCTTCAGCTTGGCATGGCTCGCAGGGATCGTGCCGTGTCCAGGTTGGTTTGCCTTGAACCGGGCTGGAAAGGCCACCCAACACAATAAACACAAGAAACAAAAACAAGTTCACAGACACACAGACAAACAACCAACCAAGCAACCAAAGAAAAATAATAATGATAATTGCTAAGGTGCAGGTCAGGCTTTTTGAGCTTCAAAGGGGCTTCAATGCGTCGAAGCGTTTGGTTTGACTCTCAACTGTACTCGAATGCAACTCTTGGCACTCCTCCCATGCAGCTTTGCTATGCGGCGCTGCATGTCAAAAACGGCCTCAAGCCCCCATCAGTTCACGCCGTCCTGCAGTAGCCACAGAGGGTGATGCGTACCGGATCGGCCCCCGCGCAGCACATCAATGAGTGGTAGTGACCCAGCCCCCTGAAGAAGATGGGTCCCGGAAGGCTAGTGACCAGCCTCCTGAAGTCCGGGGTGCAGCACCTTGGGCACGGAAGCATCTCGTGAATCCGCGTGGCGTTCTGCAACCCGTAGCAATCCATGAAGGTGTGATACCTTTCTCCATGGTTGGTCCTATACAACAACGGCCCCGCAGGCAGATCTCCGTCTCCTGGCAGCAACTCCTCTGCCTCCGGTTCCGGCTCCAAATGCTGTCTCGGTCTCCAAATTGCCTCTCGCCCCTTTCCGTCTCCCTTGCGCTTCGGCATCGGCTTGGATTTCGGCTTGGGCGTGGCTCCCAATCGCCTGCTCCCCCCACCTCCGGTAGAAGATGCACTTTGTGGTGTAGGTCCTCCTTCGCTCCATGACATACTCCTAGACGTAGGTCCACCTCCGGTAGAAGACGCACTTCCCGATGTCCCTTCTCCGTTTCTGCCAACCGTCCTTCGGATTGTCGATGAAGTCTCCTCAATCTCAATCACTTCCTCCTCCTCGTCTTCGTGCGGCGCCGGCCCCCCGCCTGATCTCATGGCTCTGATCCGGGGCATAACCGCCCTCTGACAGACCAGTTCCACCAGCTTGTACAGGATGATGGACATGATGCTCACCACCGTCATCAGGACTTTCAGGGTGTCCTCCGGCTCTTCTTCTCCTTCAACTTCCAATTTTTCCTTCACCGCTTCGACCTTCGCAATCATGCTCGCGAGGGTCATCACCTTAACCATGCCCGTGATACTCTCCAGGTCTCCATGACCATTCGCCTCCTTGATGTTCTCCTGACCCGCGCTGATCTCCTCCATGACTTCCTCCAACGGCTCTAGCCTCCATAGTCTGCGCAAATCATCTATGCGCCTACCAGTGAGGGCCTTGGTCCCGAGGTCCGCGAGCATGGTTTCTCCCATCACATGGTGGATAGACCAGCTCTCATCCATGAGCCTCCACCTCAAATTGAACGCTCTGACCCGCAAGTGCCTCGTTCTCCAGCTCCCACCAGCCTCTGATGTGATGGCAATGGCCGCCGAGCTGTCGGATAGCAGCTGCCTCTTGTACGTGCAGCCCATCGCCTCCTCAATCTCTGAGATCAGGGCTTCCACGCTCTCGCCCATGATGATGCCCTCCAGGCACTCCATAAGCTCCGCCTCTCCGGTCGACAACGTAGGGCTGCTTTGCCTCAAGCTCTTCCACGCCAGCGGGGCGCCGTTCCATAGCACCACCACCGATCCATGGCTTAGTCCACCTCCTGGAGCAAATGATGCATCCGTGTAGACCTCCATCTTCCTCTCAGCAATTCCTGTAGCCCCCGCATTCATCTCCCGATCGAACCACAAGCCCATGTCTATGGTCTTCAGGAGATACTTCCTGACCTGTGCTGCTATCTCCAATGCCCACCTGGGCGCTCTCGTCACTGCCGATGACATCCTGCTCGTCGCAAACATGAGGTCGGGCCTTGTCTTCGTAGTCAGCCACAACACTTCTCCCACAGCCTTCTGTGCGGCTTGTACCTCGTGCGGCAAGATGTTCGGCTCCTCGGGCATCTCTGTCATGTCCTTGACGATGGGGATCACCGACCCATAGCCACCGTCCTTATACCGACTGAGAAGCTCCTTCGTGTAAGACGACTGCCCAAGGTGATACCCACGTTCTGTCCGGCTTATATCCATACCGCAGAACCTCACCTTCTCACCCTTCTTCACAAACTCCGGGACGCTCGTTTCCCACTTCCTCTGGATTACCTTGCACAGCTCTCGCAAGACTCCTCCTCCCGAGTAAGCCAAGATGTCGTCCACGTAGATTGCCATCAGGCCCATGAGCTCGCCGTGTTCGTCCTCCCAGTCTCGTCCCTTCATAATCTTCCAGACATTCGGATCCGAGACCGTCTGGGCCAACCAGTAGCAACCACCTCCTTCTTCCCATCTCATTTCTCGCATGTTCTGGTCCCGAAAGACGGACCACCTCCTTGGCGATTGGCGAAGCCCATACAGAGCCTTATCCACCGCCCAGTACTCGTCTTTCTTGCACAAGCCCAGGGAGATGAGGATGGACGGAGGTTTCATCAGCAATATCTTCTTCGGCTCACCCTCCGTCTCTTTCTCCTGCAGCGGGGCGTTGAGGAAAGCGGTCTTGATATCCAGGACCATTGCCTCCCAATCTTGCTCAGCTGCGTATTTCGTGATCGTCCTGATGGAGATCGTGTCTGATCCCCCAGCGTACAACGACTCATCGGAGTCCTTGCCTCCTCCCTCCGCGTAGTTCCCGCAGATGACGATCCTGCACTTCTTCTTGCCATTGGGCGCCTTCACCGTAGGAACCATCTTACCAGGCATAATGTCCACCTTGTAGTCCGGGCTCCCAAGAAGTACTCGCGCCTCCTCGTTCGTGACTCTCCTCACTGCCTGCTTCCCGTCCAAGAGCGAGTCCACCTCGGCCTTGATCGCTGGCAGCCACTCCTCTTTGTTCTTGATCACCTCCGCGTGACTTGCGATTCGGGTCTGGAGGACCTGTTTCTCCTCTTCACCCATCACTTCTTCCACCAGAGCCTCCTCCGCCAACTTCATCTCCTTGATCTTAACCGCCGTGATTCCCAAAACTTCCCCACTGTCCTGGTCCATGGCTTCCATCTCCTCTTCGATCACCGTCCGAAGCGTGCGGAGGTCGCCGAGCTCCCTGTCCTTTTCGTCCTCCACATGGGTTTTCCCCGAATCCTTCTCCGCGGATGATGCGGTTCAGCCTCCTCCGGTAGTAGCCGATCTTCTGGTTCCACCACCCCTTTCACTATCCGGGAGACCACCTCAATCTTGCCATCTTCCCGCAAGATTCCATGCCCGCTCGTGACCTCCTTCACCACGGCCAAGTAGCGCGCCTTCTCGTAGGTAGGCCCAAATGGATCCTGAGTTCTCTTCCACGACCTCCTCGGGACCCAGACCTCCTCCCCAAATGCCGCTGGCATCAGCTCGTTCCGCTGCCTCTTCTCTTCGGCTACCACTACATAACGAGCTGCCATTGGCCAAAACTTCACATCCATCTTTGCTCCTTTCAGCAGCCTCCTCATGCGGCTCTTCAGACTGCCAATGCAGGCTTCAGCACGACCGCTTTCTTGTGGCGAGTCTGCACTCGTCGTGGTCTTCTCGATCTCCCTCACCAAGCACCATTTCTTCAGGTCGTGGTTCAGGAACTCCTTTCCCCGGTCCGTGTGCAATCTCTGGACCGGGTATCCTTCTCTCTTCAACTGGATGTAGATGTCCTGCAGCCCTTGAAGCACCGTCTTCGCCTTCTTGTCGGGCAGGGAGACAGCCTTGACGATCAGCCTCAACGGCTTTGGCTCCCCACACTCCTTCTTGGCCCGGTCCTCCGGATCCTCCTCCTGGCCGTCACCATCTACTTCCTCCTTTTCACCTTCCGGATCTCCCTCTGGATCGTCCAGCTCCCCTTTTTCGCACGCTGGATCCTAGCCCTCTGCTTTCTTCTCCTCCAGGACTGGCAAGTCCTCTCCGTCTTCCTCCTTCTCCTTGCCGTCGAAGAACTTCTTCTGATCCTCCTCCGCAGGCCAAGTGAAGGAACCGATGAGGAAGTACTTCTGGGTCGCATCCCCAACGTCCTTTCCAGCCCGGTTTGGGCCACTCAAGTCTGCATTCAAGACCGCCGCGTAGGGATAGGCGATTTTTGCATGTCGCTTCCCCCTTGCCGACGCCTCCTGACATACTCGGCAGTCCCGGCGAAATGGCACATGTCCATGGCGGACGTGCTCAAACCAGCTTAGCTTTTTCACATGAGCTGGTCGTCCGAAGACCTCCTGTTGCAAAGATCGCGCAACCTCTCTCATGAATCCCGGGGCCCACCTTGACAAAGCCGCCGAGTCTGCCACCGCAGCCGTCTCTCTGGTAGTTGCCAATGAGGATCCTCGTGGAGGCAAGGCCACCTCCAAGTCCGTGACAATACGCGTCGGCTTCACCGCCAACCCGCCGTAGTCGCCCTGCTTGAAGCTGTGCTCCAGTAGCCCGTGTTGATCTCGGAAGGCTGCGTAATTCCTGGTCCGCCACCATGATCCGCACTCAGGCACATACCACGGCGCCTCCGGCTGCTCAAGCAAGAACGCGACCTTTGATCTGGCCGTCGTTGTAATCTTCCTGGCCCGTCGAGCTTCCTCCGCCACACAGTACAACATCACCATGCGGTAGAGCAGTACGTCGTCCTCGAAGACCTGCTTTTTCTCCTCCTCATCCAGCCAAGGAAAACCAAACCAGTTCTCCGGCTCCACCCCCCTCACTGGCCTTGGCCTCCCAGCTGGTAGTGTCTTAGCACGCTCCGAGTCCTGCAGTTGGGGCCACCCACCACTCCGAGGATGTTCCCGTCCAAGGCTGCCCTCAAGAGAGAAGGGTATAGTGGGCCGGTCAGCATGTCGTGATTGTCCCCTCTCTTGAGGTCAATCTCCACCAGCCTGGTAGTGTCACCCCCAACCTCCTTCAGGGCCCTCTGCAGCGTGTAGCCATCCTTCTCGCCCGCGTATAGGTGAAGGACAAACCCGCGCTTCATTCTTTTTCTCCTCCTCCGATTCAATGGAATCCCCTTCAGGTCGCTCGCTGGCTCGCTCACGACGTTGGCCATCACCTCAGCTGGCACCCCATCGAACACTCGTTCTCTCCTCGCCAGCGCCTCCATGACGCCCACTTCTCCCCTCGAACTTGCCGAAGATGACCTCAATCTCGCACCTCCTGCAACCTCCACTTGCTCCAGCATGTCGATGAAACACAAGGCCAAATCCCTATCCACCTCCGGGCACCCAGCGTTCATCCGCACCGGAATTTCCCCCAACGTGGGATGCTTCATCTGCAGGCTCCCCAGGAAGTCCAGGTGACCTCACAGTTCAGCTTGTCCACCAAGAGTCCCAAGGGCACTATCGGCTGCACGCCCGCCTCCTCATGGATGATGACCTTCCCCTGGGTCATCAAGAGCTCCTTTCGCTGGCCTCCGGCCAACTCCACCACTATAGTCTCCATGTCATTCATGTCGTCGCCTTCTCTCATGCCTCTCATGGCATGTGTTGCCCCCGAATCCAGTAGGCCCATCTCGGTCCGGAAGTCGATCTTTGAGATCTTGACCTCCCCAAACTTCCGGATCTTCATTTCGTTCAGCTGCTTCTGAAGATCCTCTAACTTGGCGTCCGTGCCGATCTTGCCCGTCGGGGCCACCGTCAAGGATCTGAGCATCTTCCCAGCTTCCTCCAAGACGTTCTGCAAAGCGTCCGCCTCTCCTTTTGCTCCTTTCGGCGAGACTTCTTCTTGCCCGCCCAAGCTTTTCTGCGCTTCTCCTTTTTCGCATGTCGATGACATGGCGTTCTCCGTCTCCACGTTCGCGACCCTTGGAGCGCCCGGCTTGAAGTCCTTCTTCCCCGTTTGCTCGGGGGTGATCTTCCTCGAGCAGTCCTTCGCAAAGTGGCTCGTAGCGCCACACACATAGCACCTAGAACGTCCGTCTCGGGCTTCATGGCCAAAGGTACATTGTGCTCCCCTCCGGCACCCTTGATCGGTGAGGAAGAACCGGCAGGGCTTCTTCTCCTTGACGAAGTCCTCCTTACCCCCCTTATCCTCCGCGTAGGTGCCCTCGATCTTCTTCGCCTTGATCTCTCCCGGGGCTGACTTCTTCTCCGTGTGAACCAACTGCTCCAGCTCCGACAAGAGGTGCTCACAATACACCCCAATCGTGGGGTAGGTCGGAACAGTGTCCACTTGCAGCTGCGACTTCGCCAGGTTGATCTTAAAGTTCAGATCCCGGTTCCCTTCCAGCACCTTCGTCGTCAGCCTGTGAAGGCCTCTGTTCAACACCGAGGGATCGGGGAGCAAAACTCCGATTTCCTCCGCGCGTCTCTTCCACCTCAGCCATCGCCTGATGCCCGTGACCGCGGCCTGGATGTTGGTCGCCTCCCCCGGCTGCTCCAGGTTGCGCAGGATTCCCGCCCGCTCTGCTATACCGCCAGGCTGGTACATCATCATCAGCCTGCACACCAAGGAAAAGGCGTTGAGGCTTTTCGTAGCCACGACCTCGTCCTTCACCGCATCCGGAACAGCCTTGATCAGAAGGGTGACCGCTTTCCGCTCCACTCGTCTCCACCTTGAGTTTTGCGACTCCCCCACCTTTGGTACCATAGTGAGGCGCTTGAGCGGTGCCTCCTGCATGTAGTCGCCGTACCACCGCTTTGCTTCCTGCAGGACCAGCTCCCACCATTCCTGGCTCGTCTCCGACAAATCTGACATCGCCGGAGTGATCAACGTCAACCAGTCCTGCAAGTCAATAGAGCTGGTCTCCGCATTGAGCTCCGCAAGCATCGGCAACTCCACCGTACCAGCCTTGACCACCTCCACCGACTCCTCATCAGTGCTCTTAGAGCCACCCGCAAGGAGCTTCTTCTGAATCTGCTGCATGCCCTCCATGAGCTTCAGGATGATAGCCAAGTGGTCGCCCTTCTCATCGTCCCGAATCATCTCCGAGGACTCCCGCTTGTCGTCCTCCTCGACCTTGCCGTTGGGCGGGTCCGGCGTCGTGTAGGTCTCCCCCGAGCTGTTTCCCGCCTTCAACCTCTTGTTCTCCTCCATGAGCCGCTTGATCTCCGACCTCATGGAGTCCACCTCTCTTGGCCTCTGAGATCGACCATCCTCCGCTCCCACATCCAGAAGCTGAGGCTGCTCCCGGGGCAGGAATTCTGGCCGCCTCAACGGAGGATCTCGCGTCTCCCCCAAGTTCACCAAACCCCAGCGCTTCAAATACTCCAGCTGCTCCTGGGTGAAGAGAGGCCCATAGCTCTCCGGCTGCCCTGCTGGTCCTCGAAGATCTTGATCACCTCCTTGTTGTAGTTCCGCCGCCCCTGGCGTTGCCCACGGGTTCCTCGATGCCGTAGACCACAGCCTCCGCTGCACCAGTGACGAGTTTGGGGTCCCTGGTACCTGCTCGCCGATCACTTCACGACCTGCTCCATCACCACCCGAACCGACTCCAGCTGGTCGAGCTCTGGCCGTGGCTGACCCTTTTCCACTACCAGGCGGCTTCACCACCATCTCCTGTCCAATCAACTCCAACCCAGGTGCCGGCTGCACGCTCTCCCTCTCCGGGGCAGGTGCCCTCTGCGTTCCCTCCCCCTGTTCCTGTTCTTCTTCATGAAGATCTCCGTCCTCCACCGCTAGAGGTTCTCCTTCTCCACCATCGCCTCCAGCTCCTTCTGCGCCTTGAGCTCCTAGCTGAGCATTGCGGCGCTGGACCTCATGTCCTTTCAGCTACCTTGGGCCCATAACCTGCTAAGGTGCAGGTCAGGCTTTTTGAGCTTCAAAGGGGCTTCAATGTGTCGAAGCGTTTGGTTTGACTCTCAACTGTACTCGAATGCAACTCTTGGCAATAATAATAAAAGAAACAATCAAACAAACACCCAAAGACCCAAACACACACGTGAGTGTGTGATGTTTTCTAATTATTTTTGTGCTTGTGGTGTTTAGGGCTTTTGGAAGGATCCCAACACCGGCCGCTCGCCTGTAGGACGGAATCGAGAACTGGGTGGACAGCAGCGCGGTGAGGCCGGGGGATTGAGTTTGGGCGACGCGGATGGGATCTCTTCTCCAGTCGAAAGCTCTGGCTGGTTTTGGGGGAGCAGTTTTGAGCCCCGGGCCATCCATTTTACCGCGAAACGAGACGATCAAGCGCGAGGTTTCGCCCCAAAGGACCGGATGTGACAAGTCTTGGGTGTTCTTGTTGTTTCCTATAGTCCAGCTTTACAAGGATCCTGTTTGGTTGTGTTCGGCGTCTTTTGGTGGGGTGCAAAAGCTGAGCTCGTTTAGCCGCAGCAGTTGGTTCCCTTTTTTGAGGCTTTATACCCTTTCTTCGCAGTCTCAGGGCGAGCTGAAGTGAAACCATTCTGATGGCTTAGCCCAGCGCACGGCACGTGGAAGAAACTCTTACATCGAAGCCTTGGCCAGAATCGACTCATTGTCTCATAGATAGCCCCTTGCCCACAGAATTGGTTTTGGTTCCCTTCGTTTGTTCTCCCTTTTTAAACCGAAACACAGAACTACGACTCTGTTTTCATGCATGTAAGAATTGAAGCCTTTACGTCACAAGAAAAGACAAATGGCACCGCCTTTTGATCCCCCCTTTTCTTGCTGAGATAGGTTGGGAATGTGGGAATGAGTTGGATGGTTTATAAGGGTCGTTCCATTTCTCGTTCCCTGCTTATGGCACCAGCAAGTGTTGGCCCTGGGGTTCAAACAACCATTAACAGAATGGGGGTTCATTTTACTACCATGGTTTGCCTGAGGATGGTCATCATACATTCTTTTAATGGGGGCTGAACCCTGGGGTTGGGCTTTCCCCTGACGCTCGCTCCGCGGAACTCCAGCGATGCGAAGGACGCTGCTGGGGGACATCCTCCAGGCGACGGAGCGCCTGTGCATTGTCTTCGGCAGCCGCATCCATGCGCCTTCGGACGCTCATGACGGGGTCGCTGGCGTTTTTGTTTTTTTTTTTTCCCCCGGGGGTCTCATTTTTTGGGGCTGGCTCACAGGGAAAGCAAAAATAAAAGCCAAAGCGAATCAGTTGAGGGGCGTCTAGTTTGACAACCCAAAGTTAGATGGGATCTAGCCAGAACCATTTGCTTTTTAGGATAGAGATAATGTGAAGCGGAATCAGTTTTGTTTTTCTGTGTACCCCAATGTCGGGCAACTGTATCGGTGTTTCTCGCAAAAAGGGTCCCCTTTTTGGTTGCAAAACCAGGGAAACCGAAAGGAAACCTGAAGGGCCCCAATTTAGAGAAACGACCGTTGGATCTTCAACCTTTAGCTTTTTGGTTGAACATATGTGTTCCCTCACCAGCAAGTTTTTTTGTGCTGGGGGCTACAGCCGCGTGAGCCGTCAGACCATACCAGGGTCGCAGGGATAGAATCTTCCATAAGAGTACTGAAAGCGCTTGGTTAGAGCGGGTAGGGAGGGTCAAGTCACAAAGGGTGGCAGGTTCCAAATGATGATTTCCCAAAGACCCAGAATCAGACTGGTTTTTGTTGACCTCCGAAATTGCCTCATGATTATAGAATCGATATGTGGAAATGTGTATTTGCGACCCCGAAGGAGTGTTGGCTGTGAGCCCCCCAGCAGGTAGCCCCCCCAGCCCCGTGATTTGGACCGTGTTTACTCGGGCCGAAATGGTCGAGTGTTGTTGAGGTTCAGATGGGTTTAAAGGGACAGCACGAAACACACAGCCATTAAAATTGGCGATCCCCAATTTTGAAACATGCCCAAATAGTTCATAAGAATGGGGTTGTGGGGTCAGAAAGCAGTCATCATCCCGGAGTCCCCTCAACTTGCTCCCTTGCCAGGCCCTACCCAGAGTGAACTCTCCTGAATTTGAACGAAGTGCGCGGTTTCCTTTTAGCTTCTCGTTAAAACCATCCAAATGTGCAAGGGACACCCGACCTGGTGAACACAAAAGGGGTCCAAACGTCAAGATCACTTGACCCCAGTGAGCATCTGGGTATGCGTCAAAGGAGTGATTTGGCCTCTTAAAAATATTTTCCTTTTGGTTGGCCTTTAAACCAGAATGAAAAGGGTACCGAGCCTCAAACATGCGCAGACATTCGTTCAATTCCCCTGGTGTGTTTTCGTAGAAACATAGAACATGGTGTAGAATCAGAGAAGCCCTCAGTACAAAAAAATGTGGACCCTTGCACACGCAAGTCAGGTAACAAATGGACCCCCGCCACGTGTGTTTCCTCTTCAACCAACCTGAAGCTGAAAAGAGCAGCTTCACCTCAAAAAAAACCAAAGCGCCACCCGGATGCAAGCGCATCCAAATACCCAAACCAGACAACGGGTACCCTCGGGCTCAAAAGAACTAATGTTGACCCCGGATTAATAAACCCCTCAGTATATTAATTGGGAAGTGTCCCTGGGTTAAGTGAATTCATCACTTTTGGAGGGAACCCCCCTTATGAACAAGCTGGGGTTGATTCTTCCGGGGTCAACATTATTCCAGATGCTTCCATTTGCTTAAGAATACTTTGTATTTTTCCCTCTTGGTTTTAAAGGGAATCTATCACTCTATCACTACTGGAAATGTGTTTGGTTTCCCGGGGGCGAAAACGCAAATGGAAGGATGGTCAGGTGCAAAGCTCCTTGGGCGGGCTGAAGACGGACAACTTGGAGCTGAAGCCTTTGCAGCCCAAAGACGCGGCGCAGCTCTTTCTCTTTCGCAGCTCGCTCTGGGATTTTGGGCGGGGGAGCTCACTGTAGTTCATCTAGGTTTTGTTCAGTAGTGCCCTTTTGCCCACTTTTTGGGGGGAGGGTTCCACTACTAAAATATGTTCTACTGACAAAAGTTGGTACCAACTTATTCTAACCTCTCTACTGGAGGACCTAGTCATGGACCTACTACCGGCAAATTATAACGACCTCACTTGACCTCGCCCCAAATGGTGGTTTATGCGGGGAATATTAGTTCACCCAGATTTTATTGGGGGGGAAATCACTCCCTGAGTTCATGGACTGTGCACTTTTCGGGTTTGGACCATTTTTCTAGTGAAAGAGTCCCATTCTTTCGAGGGATCCTTCTTTTCAAGAAGCCATCAAGCACCCTGGGAAAACGGATCCGGTTTTTGGAAAGAACGATGGTTGAAAAGAATGGAAAAGGAATCAACCCCTAGAATGTGTTCTTCCTTTGCTTCCTACTTGATTAAAACAGCATGTTCTCTTCCTTTGCTTCGTATGGCTGGTCAACAACTTGTACCCCAAACCCAGGATTTGAGTTGTAAATACAAAGTTTGACTCAGAAAGTGTCAGGAATTCGTGGCGGGGGGATTGATTCGCCGGGTGACACAATGTTGATTGTGTAGGGTGACAAGGTTGCACAAACATTCTTTCCGAGGGCTTTAAAGAGAACTCCAAAAGAGGTGGTTTAAACCATACGGGAGTCTTCTGGAGTACCCTTTTCGGCTTGCTAAGAAAAGCCAAAAAGGAGAGCCACCCCCCGTGTTGACACATGCCCTGGGTTGTTTTCGTTTTCGGAGTTACGCGTTTTCGTGTTTGCCTATTTCCCCATGCCTGCGGGTTTTTCGCATCGTTCTCTTTCGGAAAAGGTTCGCCAAGTGGCTGTGGTTGTCACAACCAATGGTACTAGTTTGGTTGGTAGGTGAATTCACCATGTTTTAGGACCTATTTGAGTGGTTGGATTGGGTTGTTCACTGGGGGTACGATTTGGATTTTGACCCATGGCCAAGTGGCAAAACGCGCATGCCCTCTGAAGAGGGTGCCGCTTGAATGAACCCCGAGACAATGTGAGTGGTTGTGTACTCTGCGATGACAGTCCCCTTTGCATCCCCAAATTCCCTGTGTGTACCCATGTCAGTGTAGGTTAGTAGCAAAATAGAATAGGTTGTGGCATGTCCCCAGAGGCCAGTAGGGTTTCTTGTTGATCAATATCGTATGACTTACTTATGTTTAGGACAAACCCAGTATCATGGTTCTGGAAGCCATTGTTTTGGGTCCAATCTCTGCAATACAAAGGGAAACTCACTTGGAAAGGGATAAAGTAATCATTGGGTCGGCCTACTTCGGTATCCGAGTGTTTTTCATAATCAGTATTGTGTTCATGCATTTTCAGAACACGGGATAAACCTTCTCTTGTGGTTCTTTAAGGGCATCCCTTGGTTCATTCCATTTCTCATGTCTTATCGCACCTCGCACCGCGGTTCCGTTCGCGCGGCATTTGGAGCCGAGGAGTGCATCGGCATCTCTACTGGAAGGCCCCGAGTGTGCAGGGAATGACCCGGTGAGCTTGTGGCAACAGCTCCACGAGCAACGGCTAATATTTTGTCCTGTTCAAGTTGCTAGTTTCAGGTGACCCCCAAATTCCCCAAATGAACCACGGTCAATATTCAGTGGGCTTCAAAGAAGTTTGGTTTTCGGGCAATTTGGTGAGGCTACAGTACATGATAGTTCACTTTCTTGGGATGTGTATACCGCCACTATAAGCCTAGCAGTAGCGTAAAACACGTCTAGGAGAGACAAGTCAATTCGACCATGGCTCAGATGCAGAAAATTCCAGAATGCGAGATGGATGCATTTAGCGAGGAAAACTAGGCTATCAAACCACTTGTTGAACCGAACCGGGTATACATATCTTCCCACTCAGGCTCTACGGCCAGTTGTTGAAGTTGATGGGCTTTTGGCCAGAATCCTAGGCGGGTCATTTTGGTTGAGAAGCATCTCTCCTGCTGAAACGGGTTGTGATGCACATGTGTGGCAAAAAAGACTGCTTCGTGGCATACTCCCATGTGCAACTGGAAGGGATACCAGCACCAAGAAAACCAGGCACCAAAAACAAGGGACAATTCACTGTAGGTTTTGCCACCCCATGCTACAAAGGGTATGCCACACGCATTTTTGAAGGGTTTGCTCTTTTGTTCTTTTTTTTTGCGGCAGAAAGAATTTGCTTGGACACGACAGGACCTGTGGCGAAGCAAGGAGGAGTGGATGCAGAAGGCGCAGGAGTGGTACGGTGACAAGATCTATAGCAAGGCCGAAGGGTCCCCATGGGCCGCGATTCCACCTGAAGTTGATACCTTTTTCAGGGGTACTACCCTCCCACCAGCTAACATGGGTTTGTGCACAGACCCCTGTAGAAACACTACTTTCCTCTTGGAAAGGGCATTTTGTTGGTCTTCCATGTTAGTTGGTGGGAGGGTAGTTCCACTTTTGGGGGGGGCTTTAAGGGACACAAGGAAACCATTGAAACAGTTTGGGGGTTCCCTTTTTTGAGACCCTTTGGTCCATTCGGCCCCAAAAGGTTCGCGAGGCCACGCTCAAAACAGGAGGTGTGATGGCGGTTGGGAATGTGAGGGTCGGGCGGGGCAAAGAATTTTCTAGAGCTCCAAATGCTAGGTCCCCCAGTAGTGCCCTTCTCTACCAACTTTTTGGGGGAGGGTTCCCCTACTAAAATAGACTACAGAAAAAAGTTGGTACCCTTAGTCTAAGCTCTCTACTGGAGGACCTAGTAGAGCTTCAAATAGATTGACCAAGCGGGGTACTTTGTTGGAGGGTGCCATTTGTTTGGAATCCACAAGGACCCATGAATTGCGGGGTCGCCGATGTTGACACATGCCCAAACGGTCGAAACTTGGATGGTCGTGACTTTGGTGGGAACTATTTGAAGTTGCCGGAGCACATATGTTTATTTGTTGGATGGTTTGTTCGTGGGTAGTTGTCCATCCGTCATTGACCCCTTTGGGCAACTGACCCTCCGTTCATAGGAGCCTTTGTTCGGGGGCGGTGGTTTTAACCCAACAAGCAACGTTTGTACAATTCAAAAGACATACGGCCCATTTGGAATTGCAGCCTTGTTTTTTGAGTTGTTACTGTACATTTGGTTGGCCGCCCCTTTCCTCCCCCAAAAAGAAGAAGGCGTGAACAAGAAATCAGAAAAGCAAGTGACTCCCATTTGGACCTGCACATACAGGCACAACTGGTGCTGGGGTTCAAGATCGATCCTTACTCAGTATGTGAAGAGGTGGTGTCCCTGTTCATAGGAGCCTTTGTTCGGGGGCGGTGGTTTAACCCAACAAGCAACGTTTGCACAATTCAAAAGACATATGCCCATTTGGAATTGCAGCCTTGTTTTTGAGTTGTTACTGTACATTTGGTTGGCCGCCCCTTTCCTCCCCCCCAAAAAAGAAGGCGTGAACAAGAAAGCAGAAAAGCAAGTGACTCCCATTTGGACCTACACATACAGGCACAATTGGTGCTGGGGTTGTTCAAGATCGATCCTTACTCAGAATTGAAAAGGTGGTGTCCCCGTTCATAGGAGCCTTTATTCGGGGGCGGTGGTTTTTACCCAACAAGCAACGTTTGCACAATTCAAAAGACATATGCCCATTTGGAATTGCAGCCTTGTTTTTTGAGTTGTTACTGTACATTTGGTTGGCCGCCCCTTTCCTCCCCCAAAAAGAAGAAGGCGTGAACAAGAAATCAGAAAAGCAAGTGACTCCCATTTGGACCTGCACATACAGGCACAACTGGTGCTGGGGTTGTTCAAGATCGATCCTTACTCAGTATTTGAAAAGGTGGTGTCCCCGTTCATAGGAGCCTTTGTTCGGGGGCGGTGGTTTTAACCCAACAAGCAACGTTTGCACAATTCAAAAGACATATGCCCATTTGGAATTGCAGCCTTGTTTTTTGAGTTGTTACTGTACATTTGGTTGGCCGCCCCTTTCCTCCCCCCCAAAAAAGAAGGCGTGAACAAGAAAGCAGAAAAGCAAGTGGCTCCCATTTGGGCCTACACATACAGGCACAATTGGTGCTGGGGTTGTTCAAGATCGATCCTTACTCAGTATGTGAAGAGGTGGTGTCCCCGTTCATAGGAGCCTTTATTCGGGGGCGGTGGTTTTTACCCAACAAGCAACGTTTGCACAATTCAAAAGACATATGCCCATTTGGAATTGCAGCCTTGTTTTTTGAGTTGTTACTGTACATTTGGTTGGCCGCCCCTTTCCTCCCCCAAAAAGAAGAAGGCGTGAACAAGAAATCAGAAAAGCAAGTGACTCCCATTTGGACCTACACATACAGGCACAATTGGTGCTGGGGTTGTTCAAGATCGATCCTTACTCAGTATTTGAAAAGGTGGTGTCCCCGTTCATAGGAGCCTTTGTTCGGGGGCGGTGGTTTTAACCCAACAAGCAACGTTTGCACAATTCAAAAGACATACGGCCCATTTGGAATTGCAGCGTTTTTGTTTTTTGAGTTGTTACTGTACATTTGGTTGGCCGCCCCTTTCCTCCCCCCAAAAAAAGGCGTGAACAAGAAAGCAGAAAAGCAAGTGACTCCCATTTGGGCCTGCACACACACAGGCACAATTGGTGCTGGGGTTGTTCAAGATCGATCCTTACTCAGTATGTGAAAAGGTGGTGTCCCACGCAAATCCCACCATTTCGCACCCAGAAAATGATCCTTTCATTTGCTTAAGATGTTATATGTTCCCCATTGGTTTCAAAGGGCATCTATCGCTGCACGTGTTTTAGGTTTTTGGTTCCAGACGGCAAATGGCCATGGGGCATAAGCTGCAGCTCCATTTTGGGGGTGGATGAACATCCATTTGCCACCTTTGATGTTCACCAGGGGTTTCCTGGGTTTTGACCGCCAAACGAAGGGATCCGCGTCCAAGTCGATCCGGTTCGAGGTGGCCGACGCGTCACTTCTGGAGACGGGGGAGGTGCCCATCGCCATGGAGCGCGAGAAGCGAGAGGAGGCCTGTGAGCCCAGCCATCCGGTTCCTTCGCTGGTTAGCATGTTAGTTGGCTTCATGGTTGTTGTTGGGCAACATTTTACATTTTTGCTGATTGTGGTTTAGTGGGAAATCCCCACTGAACTGCTATAATTTATTATTTTGCTCTCCTTCCAACGTCAACCAGGGCTTAGTGGTTGGATGTTTCCATTTTACATCCGGAGAAAGCCTTTTTCAGGATTTTAGTTGGTTTAGTGGTTAGATATCCATTTAACCCACTATGTAACCAACTACGAGTTAAACTTGCAGTGGGGGATCTGAGGACAGCCCAGTTTAGGTTTGATTGATATGGATAGACGGAATCCATCTCGCACTACTTGGGATAGTGGATGAAACCCTGTAAATAACGAGCTAAACCTCCTACTAGCTGGTGCTATGATCCTGAACAGGGTTGTGGGATCACTCGAGGTTTATCCAACCACTTGTGTGATACAAGGGAATATGTTTTTTGTGTGGGGAGGGATGTCTTTGGGAATCCCTTCCTGTTGTATCACAGAAAAGTTGTCATTTCCCCACAGCCCTGGTCCAAGTGGACGAAAACCATTTGAGTCACGTCCTCAAAACTCGGGGAATTGGAGGGGCAATCCCAGCGGGTGCCGCCTTCAAAGAAGTTACATGGTTCTGGGTTCACCATTTGAATACCGGGTTTTGATTACGACTTATTTCGCACTGCGAAACCATGGTTGAAGCTGTTGGATTGTTGGTATTTACAGGGAAATCGAATCATTCCAGGGTGTCTGAGGTGGCGCAGGATGCCGTTTGTGCCTGGGTGTGACTTTTTTTGAGGGTACGCCCTTCTAAAGGAACACCATAGTGAGTCTTCTGAAAAAGACACATATCTAACTCGCTGAGTTCCTTGAAGCTTTTTGGGAGCAGCATCTTAGTGGTATCCGTTCCGGCAGTGAGACGGGTACACGTAGGCCTGGACAGCCATGGCTTGGGCCGACCCCTGAAAAGGTGGGGCTGGGGAGGGCCTTGTTTTTTTACTGGGCTTCCAAGAACGCGGTATGTCAAGACTCGTTGAAACCAAGACCAACTTTGCCTGGAGTGGGTTGGTAGGTTCCCTTGATAGTCTGCCAAACGCTGCCATATCTGGCAGCTCAGGAGGTGTAAAGCGCCCTTTCTCTTTAAAGGCCCGCGGCCTGAATACTTTTGGGCCCCATGCATCTGATTCTGTCTCGTGGTAAAAAATCATTTGTTGCGCCTGTTTTGGATGAATATCCTCTTGGTCAGGTGATGCTTAAGGGGTGATATGGGGAGACCTACAATACAACAACCTTGAACACCTAAGTCAATGTATTGGGTTATTGCCAACAAAAAGCATGTGGCTTTGAGGCTTGACCCCCCTTCAGCAAAACTAGGTTTTCATGGTAAGACCTGTTTTTTCAGCCAGCGGATGCGATCACCATCACGAGAGATAGAAAGCATTTTGAGAGGTTGGCAAGGCAAATGCCTTGCTGATGTCCTTTTCTCTGTTGTTTTTCCAAAAAGTGGCCAGTGCGTCCCAGCCATTTTTTCACAGTAGGTAACCCTTTGCCATGTTCCTATTGGAATGTTAGGGTGGTTCCCTTGGTTCCCTACAAAACCAGGGGAATCGTTGCTTTTGAACCACTTCAACTAAACATAACAGTGTAGGCTACCTCGGTAATTACTAGTAGGTGGGTCCTTATCTACACAACTTTGACGTACAGATGGAATCACTGTGTGGAGCTGACACGCCCTGTAGGTGCTCAAGGCTCTGGCGGAGATGCCACTCCTCAGCGAGTTCTGCCAAGGCGCCGGACAAAACGTCGGGAAGGGTGGGGTGGGGTGTGGGATGGGGTGTGGGATGGGGTGTGATACCTTATGGAACATCCCCCATGCCTCTTGGATGCATTATTCTCACTTGTTGAAAGCTGCAGACTTGTGCACCGTCGATTTCCTCTTGTTGGCCTGCGTTTCGTTCGGCCCCATCTTTTCATTCCTGGTCCTTTCGGAAAACACGCACGAGGACTGTCTTCACGGAATTGGAAAGAATTGATGTGTGAATGAGAGTGAGTTGCACGGATGATGCTCAAAACACGGCCTCCTTCACATATCTGGTCTTTGGTGTGGCCGAATCCCGCCGCAGAGACCTTTTGGACACCAAATCGGCTTTGCCATTGAACCCTACAAAGGTTCAACGACTTTTTGCTCGTTTTGGGCTTTGGAGCAATCCTCAAACTGGGTCTTATTTGAAGCACCGAGCGCTGCCTTTCTGGGAGCTTTTTTATGCAGTCTGCGAAGCTCCAATGCCCCGTTCAAGGTTAAAACAAAAAAACAACTCAGGGGAGATGGGGCCGAAGTCTTCGCCCGAACTTGCCGAGCTCCAGCCTCCCCCATTCCCTCCAGAATTTTGGTAAAGTGAAAGCTGTTGGCCTGCTGAGCTGGCAGGAAATGGCAGAGGGGTTGATCTCCTATCTAGCGCATGCTGCAAAGCGGAAACCGCCCGTTTTCACTGTGGCAATTGTCTGAGAAGGATCCTGGAGAGTGTTGGGAGCGGGGGTAACAGCTAGGATTCGAGGCTAGGATGGTTGACAACAAAAGCTTGGTCTTTGATGTGTGTATGCGTGTGTGTTTTTCGAGGGCAGCCATCACGTTTGTTTAAAAGGGACTCAAGAAGAAGCAAAAACAAAACATGTTTTGAGGGTAGCCATCACGTTTGTTTAACAGGGACTCAAGAAAGAAACACCATTTGTTTGGTCCCCTACTTTGACATGATTCGCCCTCATGATCTTGAATCGCGCGAACAGCTCGCATCCTAAGGTGTGCCCTTGCGCATCCAGCAGACGGCGGAGCGGGCGGGGACCACACAGACAAACTGGGGTGGGTTTTGTGGATGTGATTTTCCCAGACCGGTTGAACGGGCTGTTGCGTGCTTGCGGATTGCCGTCGCTTGCTTGCCAAAGGACAGTCATGTGTGAAGAATGCGATCGAAGCCATTGCTTAGAACCCACTAAATGGGCTACCAACCCGTGGGAGCTTGGCGCGGTTCTCAGAAGCCAAATGTTTGCCCTTGTGCCAGGGTCTAGCCCTTTGAGTAAGGGACAATCCCCTTGCCATAAATAGCCAGGCGGATCTCCGCCTTGTTAATTCCTGAAGCATGGCTTCTGGGTGGACCATTGGAATACCGGGTTTTGATCATGCCCCAAATGTTTGCCCTTGTGCCAGGGTCGAATTAACCCAGTGCAAGCTGAGGTGTGAAGGAGCGGCGAAATCAGATTCCACGAGCCCCGAGAAGCTGACCTCATCCAATGCTTATCCGGGGCTCCCTTTTTATGCGCAGGTCCCCTATGTGCACGGCCGTTGAAGAGGAAAGAGTGGGGGAACCCTGCCGATTCTGCTCGGCTGTGGCGCCGGGTGTAGTGTAAGAACAGCTGGCTCACCAAAGCATCAAAGGTGAGGTGAGGTACCACGCAGCTACCTAAAATGGGGCCCGGTTTCCATTTGGCTTCCTCCAACAGGGGTACCTTGGACAAGACGGTCTACTTATATACATACAAGTTTCATAGATACATAAAATGATGGTTTGCATCATTTTTTGGTCGCCGGGAAAATACACTTTGCATCCTTCCACTCCAGTAATCCATCCACTTTGACTTTATTGAGGTACCAGTTTTTGGCCTGTTTCCGAGGGAACCCAAAAGAACACCACTTTTCTGGGGGTTCCCTCGAAGAGGGCGAGATGGCTTCGCTCAAAATCTCGGGAACCTTGATCAGGGTTGCTCCAAGCATTGCTATAAAGGGTGGTACCAAACCTCGTAAAAAAAAAAAGGAAAAAAAAAGGACTCCGCGAGGAACCTTGCTCGGGGAAGCAACAGCTTCCCTACACATGGCATCTTGAAACAACATGTGTCCAATAGGTGATGATTAAAACAGCCAAAGAAAATGCAAGGAGCCCTTCAAAAAAACCGGGGTTGCATTAAACAAAAAAAGGAAGGGTGAAAGATCAGGTCTCAAGCCAATCCACGGGATAAACTGCGCTTTTGATCATCTTGATCATCTTTTGGTTTGGGATTGAGAAAACTCTTGCGAACATGCCTGGGATCTTCTTGGGACCTTCCAGGCCTATGACTGAGGGAACCCTGAGTTCGCAGTGGGGGCGTCTGGCTCGGCATCCTTCGATGCCTTGTTTGTGTCGAGGTTTAAAGGGAAACCACGGGGAAAAAATCCCAGAGGCTTCCTTCCCTTCGGGTCACGAAGACGGTACAGAGTTTGAGGTCTCCTTTTTGGCACCTCCGATCTGGGGAGGGGCTGCGATGAAAACAACCCCAAGAAAGGGGAGAGCTTCACGAGCGAGTGCCCGAAAGGGTGCAGGCCGAAACATTTTCCCTCCACTCCTTACAAGGAGTCTTACAAGGACTGAGTCAAAGTGGATGGATTACTGGAGTGGAAGGATGCAAATGCTACGTCAACAAAACTGGCACAGCATTGGCAGCCAACAAAAAGCACAACATTGGACCTCAACCCCAAAAACCAGGCAACACATTGTGCCTCATAAACACGGACACAACACTGGCAATCACAGGCACGACATCGGTACCTCAAACAAAAGGACGGAACTCTGGTACCTACAAAAATCGAAAACTACTTGATACTTCAAATAAAAGGCCACAACTTTGGTAGGTACAAAACCAAACACGACTTTGATACTTTACAAAGACCAACGACAACTTTGATACTTCTACAAAACTAGAAACAACTTTGCAAAACCAAAGCATATTTGATCCTGAGGCACCCAACGCGCCCTTTTCTTGGGTACGAGAACAAAACGCTCGAATTACCGATTTCTGCTCGACCCTCCAAAAACGCTCGCCCCCCGAAAAACGCTCGACCACATCCCCTTCTTCCATCCAGAGGAAGGCGGAATTGTTACGTTTTTTTTTTTGGGTTTTTTTTTTTTTTTTTTTTTTTTTTTTATTTGCACTCGTTTGCGGATATTTGCGCTCGTTTTGCGCATATTTGCGCTCGTTTTGCACTTTGATTTCTGCTCGCTCCTTTTGAATATTCAGCGACCGATCATCTTGGAGGACCGACCAGCCCGGTTTTTTGGAAAAACACTCGAAGCAGGAAAAAGTGTACGTTTACCATATTTTGGGGACGACCCCTGGTTTTGCAATACGTTTGGGCAAAGGGCAGAAATTTATGTAACGAAGGGTGCTCCAGGATACTTACAAAGATACTTACAAGAACCAAGAAAACAAACTTGTTGCTTCAACCAAATCGTTGATACGGTGGATGGACGAAATCCTGCACCACTTGGAAACCATGACAAACCATTGTTGGTGCGAAATGGGTTTCGTCCATCCACCGTATCAACGTACTTGGTTGAAGTAGCAAAGTTGCTTCTAGTTTTTGTAGGCATCAAAGTTGTTGTTGGTCTTTGTAAGGTATCGTCGTTGATACGGTGGATGGACGAAACCCAAGACCACCTACGTACCCTTAAAAAAACAACGACGAACGCCCCCAGCTGGGCCGAGGTGACCAACTCGCTGCCGTGTCTTTGGGACCTGCTGTCGACGCTGCGCAGCGAGCGCGCGAAGGGGCAGCAGCAGATCCAGCGCCTGGGTGCGCAAATCCCCAGCACCCAACAAATGGGTATGGTCAGGGGTTCACATCAATTACTCCAGTTGCTGAACCTTCCCTGCCAAAAAAAGACATACTTCCACATCGATTCCCTGTAAAACCAACAGAAGCAAAACATATTCTTAAGCACATGGGTATGGGTCAGAGTCAATATTAAACAACCAGGAATTGGACCGCAGGTTTGAGTGCTTGGTTCCATTTGGCAGGATTCCATTTGGGGGTAATTACATAATTTTGACCCACAGCCAAATAGCCAGCACTCAGGTATTCCATTTTCCGGACATCAAAGGGATTGGTTGGTTTAGCCCAAGCACGGATTTTGACATATGGTTGAATAGGCAGGTGCACGGGGATTTTAAACATGAAGAGGCAGTTGCCAGTTGGTTTATCATTCCGTTTTCAGGACATCACACACACACACACACACACACACGTTGTTTGGCCCAAAGCACGGATTTTGACATGGTTGAATATGCAGTTGCCAGTTGGGGGGGGGGGGGTGCTGTTCCATTTTCAGGACATCAAAGGGATTGGTTGATTTATTTGGCCCATGAAGAGGCAGTTGCCAGTTGGGGACATCACACGGATTGGTTGATTTGGCCCAAGCACGGATTTTGACATGGTGGAATAGGCAGGTGCCAGTTGGGTGTGTGTGTGTGTTGTTCCATTTTCAGGACATCAAAGGGATTGGTTGATGTGGCCCAAGCACTGCCTTTTGGTTGTATTAAGGGGGATTTTGGACATGAAGAGGCAGTTGCCAGTTGGGTTATTTCATTTTCAGGACACCACACGGATTGGTTGATTTGGCCCAAGCACGGATTTTGACATGGTTGAGTAGGCAGGTGCCAGTTGGGTATGTGTGTGTGTGTGCTGGTCTTGCTTTGGTTGTTCTTTGAACAACTATTGGAACATTGGGGTCTCCCAGACTTCCAGTGGTGCCCTTTCGTTTTTTCTTGGAGGGGGCGGGGGTTCCCTTTAAAAGGAACCAACAAGGAGGGTGCCATTTTTTGCCCATGGAAATCCATTGGGAGTTTCGGTCATGTTTGAATTCCATGTCTTATTTTTCAAGTTCCTTTTGCGTACCTGTCGTCTCAGCATTTGTTAAATTCTTGTTTGCGGGTCCTCATGTGTTCATTGTGTTGATGGTTCATTGTGTTTTGTTGCGGGAGACTCAAGTTGATTGCTTGCTTCCCCATTTAAGCAAAACAAAAGGCTGGGTGTGTTGTTAAATTTTCCGACCCCCAAGTTAACACCCAGTGCAACTTTTGTTGACAGTACCTTGAAAAGACGGGAGAAGATCCGAACCATTTCTCCCTCAAACATCGCGGCCATGTTTCTAGTATAACAGAGGCGAAACTCACCCAAAATGATCCGGATTCCCTGTAACAATTGCTGCAGTGACCTACAAATCAACTAGGAGGGTTGGGTTCGTTTTAAGTTTCTGCAACTGGGGCAGGTGTGGAAATGGGGACACTTTTGGGCTCTTGAGTCGTCAAGACGTTGGATCTTGACCCGGTTGTGTCGGAGGAACACCCAAGAAAAGCGACAAAAAAGAGGGGCGGATTCTGCATACTGAGGCGACTATTCTGTTTGACGCCTAGTGAACCTTGAAATGGGTTTGTCTCAAAATGAGGGAAGCCTCAAAATGGTTGTTTCCTTTTATTTCCCTTTAACTCAGCCTTCAAAAGCGTACCCAAAACCAATTGGGTTTGATCGCGACCGAGAGGGGCTGTTCGACCTCGTCAAGGTGAGCCTTACTTGGGGAACCTTCGTAAGTTTCAATTTGAATTATTTGGGGTTGTGGCAGCCCTTACCATTGAAAGACTCCGTCAGTTTCCATGTTAGTGGGAGCTAGGCCCTAGCTCCCACTAACATGGAAACTGACGGAGCCCCGTTTCAAGCAACGCTAGGGCATAATTTGGAGCATTCGCTGCTTTCCAAGTTATAATCAGGGGTGTGACTGTTGTGTTAACCCAGTGCAGAAGCATCCTGCAATGGAAAGGTTGAGATGGATTTGTTTACGCATGTTTTGCCAGCCCGCCACGAATGGGTGCGGCCGCCCTTTATATTTCTTTAACTGGTTAATGAGTCATGGGCTTACGCACATTCCTTACATGGAAAACCTCCATTGCAAAGGTCATGGGACGGTGTGTGCTTGGTGCTATGTTTCCCCGCAAAAGGCTCCTCCCAAAGGAGTTAGGCTCACTGCACATGCGTCCTGTAGTCTTCTTTTCGTCTTGCTGTCTCTTCCATTGGTCTTCCTTTGGTCTTCCCCCTTTCTTGTCCATCTGATTTCCGTTTTTTTTTTTTTTTTTTTTTTTTTTTTTTTAATAGCAAACATGAAAAACAAACAAAACTGCCCACCCTCCTTTCCAAAACGAAATGGGCTTGGGGCAAGTGCCTCGAAGTCCCCCGAAGGCTCAGCAACGCTTGAGGCAGCGCTTGAAAGCGGCGCTCTGTCCGGGCGGCCCAAAGCGGCGCTCCATCGGCGGCGCTTGGCAGCTGGGGAAGGCCGGGGTCGCGGTTGAAGTCTGCGACATTCTGCGACCCTGAATCACTACGCAATGGGAGAACCGAAGGGAATGTTGGTAGAACCGAAGCGGAAGGAATTTGGGCGCTTCTGAAACAACTTTTTCCGGGTTGCTACTTCAGTGGTAAGTTAGATAGCGGCATAGCATTGGAGATACCAAAGGCCTTTTGAGTAGGGTGTTTGCTTGATTTAATATTCGATCCGCTTATTTGCGTGCTGCTGTCTTGTTGCCGTTTTTCATACGGTGGCTTTGCGCATCGCAAAATTCGATCCGCTTGGCTTTCTTGTCCTCCCTGGCCTTTCGGGAAGCCATGCTTCACGCCGGTCAATGGGGCGCCTTCATGGTACATTTCGGGGCTAAAAAAACATGTAGAAGTTTTTGTCTAGTTCTCAGCTGTGTTTTCTGGCTTGAGCGCTATTGCACCCGGAATCTTGCAAGTCCAACGGCACAACGATATGAAGTCAGCTTTCAATGTCAAGCGTTTTGCTGCTTTCTATCTGCATCGTGTTAGTATTGGCCCACCCTGTGTGTGTGTGTGTGGGTCTGTTTGTGTCTGTGTCTCTGTGTCTCTGTGCCTCTGTGCCTCTGTGTCTCTGTGTCTCCGTGTCTCCGTGTCTCTGTGTCTCTGTGTCTCTGTGTGTGTGGGCGCGCGCGCGTTTTTACGGGGCTGTCAGCTCAACAGGTGTTTGCTGCGGGCTGGTGGGTGAATCAGAACCATGGGAATCAACCACTTTGGTAAAGTTTGTTTCTCCAAGCCTCCTTCTGGCGACAAATGATATGTCTGGTGGCAGCAGCTTGTATTCAAAAGGCAATACCAAGGAAGAGGGCAGTGAAGCATAGGGCTCACCTCATGTGCAGGGCCCAAGGTTCGATCATTGGTTCGGCTTCCTATTGGCGTAATGCTAATTTGTCTACTAGGTCCCCCAGCAGTGCCCTTTCTCACCTTTTTTTGGTTGGCAGGGTTCCCCTACTAACATAGACTACAGAAAAAACATGGGCACCCTTATTCTAACCTCTCTACTGGAGGACCTAGTCTAGTACCTTTCAAGGTCATGGGTTCCAATGGTTCCAACCTTGAACAAATTCCGGGGTGCCAGACGCAAAGTCCAGGGGCTAGTGACTTCAAGGGAATTGTTATATGGGTGTGGGTCAAAATGAAGCAAGCAGCAATTGGACCGCAGGTTATAGTCCAAGTTTCCATTCACCAGGGTTCCATTTTGGGGACATATTTGTTTGACCCACAGCCGTATTGGAACCCTATAAAGAGTCCCGCAGAAGGGAGACATTACGGGACAGTGACCCCTGAAAGGTGAGTTTCTGTTGGGTTTCTCTTTTTCGCGTTTGCAAGTGCTCGAGCCATGTAAACCCTCGAGAAAGAGAAAAATAAGCAGACGGGATGAAGGGTCCAAACCCTCCTTTAGGTTTCCCTCAGAGACACCAAAGCCTGAGACCTTTTAACTTGCCAAAATGCAGCGTAGAAATGTGGCTGTGGGACAAACCCAATGGTACCATTTTGGGGTAGGTGAATTCACCACCCATTATACGACCTATTTTAGTGGTTGGATTGGGATGTTCACTGGGGGGTACGATTTGGATTTTGACCCATGGCCATGTTGGCATTTGGCGAGGTCATCGGCCAGGGTGCCCAGGGAGTGGTGTACCACGCCCTGGACTCCGCCTCAGGCGTCGCGGAGTGGACTTTGGTTTTGGGTTGGCGTCGTTTGGGTGAACTCGCCTGCCCAGAGGCTCCTGGCTTTAGCTTTCAATGGAAGCCTCATCTCTCCATTGGACGCATTGGACACCCGGAGATGTTTGGGACCCGGTCTCAAAACCTGGCTGTTTGAGGGCCCTAAATGAATCGAATTGGAGCCTCTGGGTGACAAAGAAATCAGCCACGGCCTCAAATTCGATTCGGGTAGATGAAGGTGAAGGGATAATCCCAACCATAAAAATGGGAGTCACCTTGTCGGTTAAATGGTTTTGACTGGAAACCAATTGAACAAACACTCCATTCTTGGTGGGTCACCCGTTTACAGATAAACCTGCATAGTGGGGAACCGGGAGCCGGGCTGTCAACACCCAAAAGGCAGTTGCGACGAGCCTACTATAGTGGCATCTGGGATCCACTGGGCGGATTTGGGAAATCGAAAGGAATTCTGATTCGACAAGGTGAACCAGCCTCGCTGAAGCCTGGGTCGGGGGAAGATATGTTGCTAAGGGTGTCGCTCCAAAACGATGATGTGTTGTCCTTCCAGTCATGACAATGTCCTTTCTAGGCCAACAGCAGCTAGCTAGTTGCCCATGTTGCCTGGCTGCGTCGGATCGCTTTTCGCTAGTTTTGTTTTGATTTGGCGGCTTCTTGTTGTGCATGTTTCCCCTTCCAACGTTTTGGAACGCGGAGAATCCCCACTCACAGATCAATTTGTTGGGACTCAGTTTCGCCACCCCTTATGTCAGCGTGGTTAAAAAACACCACTGTTTAGCTATAGATTGTTGGTTTCCCTAAGGACACCAAATCGGGGGTCTTTCAAACCCTGACTCGCTGAGTTCCTGAGCCTCTATTTTAGGGGAAGACCGCTTTAGTGGCAAACACGCAAGTTTGGGCTTGATTTGGCCAATCCACTCCAGAAGTGAGCCCTGGCGGAAAGTGACTGCATCAAACTCTCTACCGTTTTGTCATGAAGGCCTTAAGACGGAACCCTTGAAAAAAACCTAGGGGTCAATTCTGCAACTAGCTCTGCTAGAATTTTCGGATTCCTTCACAGACCCCGCCAAGAAATATGGGTAAAGGCCTTTTGAAGGCACCTTTCAATTTGTTACGTTTGCTTTTTAGTGGCAAATTCCCTTGGTTACCTACTAGACGAGGAAATGGAATCACTGGGTTTGCTTGGAAGACCTGAATTGCCGCCGCGCCCCGCCTGTTTGGAGTCCTCCAAATCTGGCGATGAGGACCCTTACCGAGTCCATTGAGTCCCTGGTCAGGATCCGTGCTTACCACCCCGCAATCTTCGCCTGTTTCTCTGTAGGTCCTTCCGTTCCAGCCAAACCCCAGCCCCAGGTGTTTCCTTTCTATACCCACTGGCTTTCGGTAACCCTCAACCCATCCCATTTGCTTGCAAGAATACATATCTATCATATATTTACCCTTCAGCTGGTGTTTGACACTTGGAATCTCTCAACCCACACAGAAAAAAGGCAAAACACAAACACATAAAAAAACACCACAGACCCTTTTCTCGCCTCCAACCCCGTCCCACCCCTCCAACGTCCGCGCCTCGCCTCTCTCGCGCCGCTTTTCGCTCAGGGGAGAGCTTCGCGGTGAAGGTGCTGGAGGAGTCCCGGGAGCTGCACCAGGAGCTGGAGCTTCTGCAGCGCCTCGGAAAATCGAGCGAGCGAGCTGAGACAGAACCGATGCCTTCCGGTTGCTTAAGCATGTGTTGTTTTGTATATATGTATATTTATATTATTTTGTTTTTTTATTTTTCCTTTCTTGGTTTTAAAGGGAATCTATCACTGGACATACGTGTGTGTGTTTTTCCCACGGGCTTAAGAAAATGGAAGCTAATCCGCGGATGACGGAAGACGCGAAGAACCGAGAAGGTCGAGGCAAAAATCCAACGGTGTACCGCGGGTTTTCCGTTTTTGGGTTTGGGTGGCATTTGTTTGTTTAATGTAGGTGATTTGTTTTGGTTGTTTCATTTTTTGGTTTGGGAGTGCCACAATGTGGGGTTGTTATGTAGGCGCCTTGTCTTGGTACCTGCTTTTTTGCTTGGTACCCGTTTTTTGGGTGTTTAAAAAAAAAGAGGCACGCCAAACGGAAAACCACAAATTCCATTTGTGGGTCTCGGGATCCCCTGAAAAAGACATGGGGTCCTGAGTTTCGCCCGATATTCATGGATCTTCGTTTAGCCTTTTTACTTTTTGGAAAATACGTGGGTGTGGGTGGGTGTGGTTTCCTCACTAACATATACAACAAATGTTTACTTTTTGCGAACTGCCTGAGACCGGGTTTCTTTGTGGCTACGCCGAAATAGCCAGGGACCCCAAACTCGTTGAGACTGGCTCAGACTCTAGGTGATGCTCGGGGTGTTGCTGGTGGTGGCATGAGTTCCACCCCTCTAGGCAGGAGGCGCAAAAGTTATAAGCTAATTTTCCCGAATTCAAATAGGAAGTTCTGTCCAACTGGGACGTTTAATTGAATTTCAATCGGATGTGCAAGTATGTTTGCACCTTACGTAAATTTGATTCCAATCAGGAAGTCTTGGCCAATTGGGACGTTGAATTGGAATTCAATTAGAATTTGCATTTTCACATCAAAGTCAACGGTAATTCCTTTCTGAATAAGCGTGCACTTATTTAAAATTCAATTTTGCATTTCAGTTTCGAATTTAAAGCAGGATGTCCTTGCGAATCAGGACTCGACTTGCTGTCGCCGGCACTGCTGTAGTCTTAGAATGACGTGTCCATATGTCACGCATAATACGCGCGCGCCTTAGAGATAGAATATCATAGAATGCCGCCATATTTGCTGATCACGGCGAATCAGTTTAACATGTGAAAATCATCACTTAAACACAAAAACACACGCAAACGCAGCGCTTCTAAAGATAGAATATGTGCCACCATTGAGAACTTAGTTGTCAATGAACATTTCAACCGGAATTCCTATCCATACCTGGACTCTTTGCTTGGCCGAAGAAATGGGAGAAATAGGGGACCGCCACCTGAAAGTGTACAACTTTGTCTTCTACGGGGATCTGTTTGTTTCCCTACATACTTGAAAGCAGTCCCCGCTTGTGCCCGGCTCGTTAATGCAACGTTTCCTTGAGACGCGCCGGGTTTTTGAGGGCTTAGTTGCTCAAATCTCAAACCAGCCCAGAGAGCTTCGCAGTTGAGTTGGCAGACTTTAATCCGGGTGTGTCTTAAAAGCAGAGGTTCCCCCATAATGCGCCCCAACATGGCTGTCTTTCTCCTTGGTGTACAGACCAAGGTGTTGTTGGTTGGTTGGTTGCTTGGTTGGTTGGTGTGTGGCCAGCACTTGTTAGTGAGGCCAGGCCCGCGCTTCCCCCCCGGCCGAAGCTTGGGGTTCAAGCCAAGGTGTTGTTGGATGGCTTGCTCTATCATGTCAGCCGCAAGCTCGTTGACCCCTGATCTGCGGGGTTGGGGCTCAGGTCACTCGCTCACGACCACATCGCCGGGATGCCAAAGGAGCTTCAGGGGCGGGGAGGGGTGTCTGTGTGCCTTTCTCGCGCAGGAAGGCCCCGGTTCAGGGCTCCGGTCGATTTCGGTAGCTCAAACAGGGGGGCCCCAGTAAGGTGGTGTTCCCGTCGGTTTCGCTTAAAACCCACCCAAACCGAATTCCTCAAGACAACGCAAATCCCTTCTTTGAGACATCACCTGGGCCAGACTAACAGGAGCTTCCTCTTGGGTGATGGCTATAGTGAATTCTGCCCTTATGCCCCAGGGCATCCCCAGCATCAGGCCCAACCATTGAGGGTTTTGAGCGCCTGGCTGTCACAATCGGATGAGAGTAACCCGGAGTGAGGTATCAAGTCTTATCGCTGGGATTGTTGACTGCCCAGTCCAGTCTGTCGACCAGACGGCTGCTGCACTAGTTTGGCCGTTTCCATGCACACTAAACTGCCGACCTGGTCAATGCCCAAATCTGGGTTTGGCAAATGGACTTATCCGAAATCGGAAGGAGCTGGGAAGGTTCCCATTCTCCGACCCTTGACCTCGAGAAGCGGTCTGTTCTTGTTGCGAGTGGGCTTTGAGCCAGAATATGTGGGGCTGGTTGACGAAATAGAAAGCAGAATCTGAATATATGATTGTCCGTGCGCCCAGATCCTGGCCAGCATATTATCTCAGGTGTGAGTGTTGCCGGGATTCGCAACTTGAATGCCCTGATGATGTCACAGATCTTGCGATTTCGACCGGTCGTGACATGGCCGGAAACTGTGCTTGGAATGCCTTTACACCTCCCATTCACTTGGCCAGATGCCCTATGATGATGTTGGCATGTTGTCTCTGAGAATTGGGAGGGCCCCGTTAGGAGGTGTTTAAGGGAAGCCATAAGGCAATCAACTGTAGGGCCCCTAGTTTTCAGACACTAGTCTTCGGGCCGCAACGTGACAACCGGTGCCATGTCACCGATGAAGGTATGTTTCTTGACCCTCAGACTCTCTTTCCTCTGCCTCAAACGGTGTGACCAAAGAAAACAGACTTTCTGCAAATGACTAAAGCAGCCGACCAGTTTACAAGCCCGCACACGAACCCCAGCACCAAGTGGGAGTTTCTCAACATCGCGGAGCACTTTTTGGTTGGCAGTAAAGGGGAAGCCAAAAGTTTTGAAAGGAATCCAACCATTCTTCATGGCTGGTCCTTGGTGTGACCGAATCGCGCCTTAGACCTTAAACAAACTAAATGGCTTTTCCGTGAAACCTGCAGAAGGTCTTGGGCCTTTTGCTCGTTCTGGAGAAAAAGATGTTTCAGGTGACCCATTCTGAGACCCCCCCCGGAACCAAACCGATCATCGACCCATTTTTCGAACGAAACTTGGTGAGGTGAGCTACTTGGGCCACGAGATTCACGATCGGCAGCTCTACATCTTTCTGGAGTACATGCCGGAAGGCGCGGAAGCCCCACCCATTGCTTCGGCAAAATTTGGGTGTCGACCCTTTCCGGCGGAAGGAGTGCTTTGCTTGGGATGGATCTTTGCTGGGTCTACTTGGTTGCGGAATACCCGGCTTTGGCAAAATTGGGGTATCGACCTTTGGCTGGGTTGGGTTTTGCTGGACCTATTTGTTTAGATCTTGGTATTTGACCCACCCGCCCGAAAGAGGTTCAACTGGTTGCGCCATGTTGCGCTAACTCAGGAAGTACGAAATAGACAAGGCCTTGGCAAGACGCCGAAAGGCGCGGTGTCTGGATTCGGAATCCAGGGGTTTGCCCAGCAAGACCTTTAGGGAATTTTCGAAGCTTTACGGTGCGTCAGCCTCTGTGATTCCAAACAAATCCCCTAAGTGGCAAAGCCGTCCTAGGGCCTTAGGGAGCCAGGTGCCATTGTTCTACCCTCGGTGTCGAAACCGCCATTTCGGGGGGTTGTTTTTTTTGTTTTGTTCCGCAGATTTCCCTGGAACGCAGCCAGCCACAAAAGCCTATGGTCACCCGCATGCTGAAAGTTCTTGGCGTGCTGTTCCCCGCCTGGCAGATTTGGGGCCATTGGTGACAGACCTCACCAGATAAACAAATCCCCCTTTTTTTGTGAGACATCACTGACCCGGGGGATAGCTGAAAAGCAAGAGCCCCAAAGTAACCTCCGGAACCCTAGCCCGCTCCGAACCATGTCTTCTGGCCGCCTATTTGGGCTTATCGAGGCTGTCAGTGGGGAAAAAGTAGACCACAGGAAAACCATAGGAAAAGCTCCCACCTGTATGGGGCAGATGTCAATGACTTACCCTCCCACCAAACATCATGGAACCTGACAGGGACCGGGGCCGATTTTGAAGGAAAATGATCTTCCAGGATACCCCGAACGTCAGGTTCCATGTTAAGTGATGACCCAGTCCCTTTGAATTGCCCAGGTGATATCCCCAAAGCCACTCCGTCTGGTGGGAGCGTGGGGGATCGCTGGGAAGATCGGTCCATTTCTGTGATGTTCAGCGGCCAGGCACGTTGAAGGACAAGATCGAGGAGTTCGGCGCGTTTCAAGAGGCGTGAGCTGGGTTTTTCCAGCTCCATGCGATAGGTCAGGGAATGGGGATCTCTAGTTTTGTGGATCTATGATTCAACTTGGTGGCTCCCAGCCATCCCCTTAGCTTTTTAGCCTTTTAGGGTTTGGTGGTAGTTTCCATTTAACCCACTAAAAGTTTAACTTTTAGCGGGGGATCTGAGGGCAGTCAATGATCCTTCATGTGGGTTGGCTTTTTCTTACCAGGACGCAACAAATGGTTGGTGCTATCTGGGTTTCCCTTGCAACCAACTCCAACATGGTATCCTCATAAACCGACAGCACCGATAGACCTTCAAGCAGCATGCCTCCATGGAGTCATGTCGCAAGTCCTCCAAAAACGGAATTTGCTTCCTGGGCCTCCAGAATGAACGCCGGTCTCCCCTGATCTCCCCCGGGAAAACTCCCAGTCTCGGGTCGATGTTTTCATGGGGGCTGGGGGGGAGGGAGGGGGGGGAGCCCCAATAAGCCCCAAATACGGCCTTATTAGGGGCTTACCCCTCTCTCCCCCCAACTCTCGGGTCGCTGCTTGGTCCCAAGGATCTCTGCGCGGCCTTGGGCCAGCAAGTGCTGCAGGGCCTGGACTACCTGCACGAGCAGCGGGCGCCTTGTCCCAGACACCCCCCCCCACCCAGGGCACCCAGGAGGTGACGAGCCCGTTGTTCCCCATGTTTTGGAACAGACGACAGGGGTTCCTTCATAGGGGTGTTAACTTGTTTTATTGATAGGCAGTTTCTCTTTAAAGTCAACTACCCCAAAAAAAAGGTGCCAAATATATATTTTTCCAGGGCGTTCGGGAAGTGGGTGGCTTTGTGACGCGTTCTCAAAATGACATGTTGGGGTTTGCTCAAATTGGTGCAACTTGAAGTGGGCGGCATTCTAACGTGGCTCTCCTCCAAAACTGTGTTCTGGGACATAACCTGAACGTGTGGCGCTTGGAGCAGCTCAGATGTCGGGCAAGCTGAAGGTGCTTGCATTTTGAATGGCCCTCATGTTTTTTGGCCTTGTCTTTGAAGGGTGTGACATTGCGCAGAGGTGCAGTGAGGGGCTTTGAATCATGGCCACTGTAGGTCCAAGGAGAAGATGTGCTTTGCTCAACATCAGGACAATTTCGTTTATACTGAGCCCTTAAACTTGTGTTGGCGCGACACCCGCCCTTTGTGAGGAACCAACGCTTTGAGTGCTCTGTTGTTGTTTTTTCCACTGGACCTCTGGCTCTGGAAGCCAAAAGGACCTACTGACCCTTTTTGGGAGTTCTCCACATATATTTTAAGATACACTCATACTTCACCTTACTCCTGGTAACTTTACCTGGTTTCACCCCAAACAGAGAATTCTAACTCAGAAAACAGACGAACCTTCCACCCGGATCCGGGGCGGGTTGCGATCGCCTCGCAGGTAATGCACCGAGATCTCAAGTGCAGCAACCTGCTCCTCGATGTCTCCGGACGCGCCACTCGAAACCGTGGAAAAGCGGACCGCCACGATTGAAATGGCCGCGTCTTTCTTTTAGGGACGCCCCAAAATGATAGTTGTTTCTTTGACTTCCCGTTAAAACACAACCGAAACGAGGTGCCACCAACAAAAGGTCGCACCCAAATGGAGTAGATGACTGGGAAGGACGAATGAGGGATAAGTCCAGATGGATGGCTGGGTGGCTGCTGGCTAGCTGGCTGGCAGTGTGGCTGGGTGGGTTTTGGTAGATAGTAGATAGACAGACGGACAGACGGACAGACAGACAGGCAGACAGGCAGGCAGGCAGGCAGACAGAGATTGCGCGCTCGAATCGATCTGAGGTTAAGATCTCAGACTTCGGCTGCTGCTCAGCTGCACCAACTGCAGCGAGCCTGGCCATGTTTTAAAGGGAATCTATCACCACCGGATGTTGTTTTTTCTTGGGGAAAAGGGTTGAAAGAGGTCGCAGGGCATCATTTAGGTGGGTGATGTCCGACTTGGGGAATCCCCCAAAAGTGTCACTCACCTATCTGAGTCACCATGATTGAAGTCACCCCAAACGGTCAAAGGGAAACAAATAACATTGTAGCGCAACACATTTGAAGCCTGTGGGGACTCGAATCTATATATTTACAAAGTCTTCCGACAACCCCATCTTCTGACTTTGAACACCCCCAGAGAGACGGACTCTCGCCCCCAGAAACGCCTGGGCCGGATTCCAGGCTCGAGGTGGATCGCCAAGGAGGATTTGGCCAAGTCCCTGGTGGGGAGCCCTTTCTGGCCTGGTCCTTAGACTCCCGGTTTTTAGTAAGCCAAAAAAAGCAAAGGGGGCCCACGGAAAAAACGGATGGGAATGTGTGTGTGTGTGTTGTGTGCGAATTATTTTTTCAGACAACCCCCAAAAATAGTAGGTTTCGTGTTTGTTGTCTTCTTCGGGGGACACCCAAAAAGGCGGGCGGTCTTCTTGGTTTTCCCTCAAAACCAAGCGTACCCTTAAGAAAAGAGACACCCAGATGTCCAACTAGCAGCAAGCCAAAGCAGCTAATCTTGACGTCGGAGTCATATTTGTCTCCCCCTCCAGAAGGTCAAGCCTCAGACTAAATTAAACGGGTTCCAGGGAGAAGGCCTGCGGGAGCAGGTAGTTGTAGGTGGCAGCTCGGTGGGACTGAGGATGCATCCGGAAAGGAGATTAAGCTTTGGTTGGGCTGGAATTGAAATCAATAGCTTGGAAAGGGTTCTGCCGAACGCTCCGTACAAATTAGGGGTGGTCCTGGAGGCCCATATCAGAGTTTGGAGCTGTATTGCCTCGGATCCCGAGAATGCGCCTTAGTAGTCGGTGGCATGAACGAATCTAAAGGACATGCCCATGAGCTGAAAGAAGTTACGCACTAAGTTTCCAGTAATAGCCCTTCATCCTCTTATTTTTTTTTTGGGGGGGGATGCCAGCAGCTGGGGGCAATGAGGGCACACAGGTTCAGTGGAGGTGCTTGTTTAGTCCCTTGTTCATATGTTCGGGACCTGAACCTTATCCAAACAGGTCTCCCACTTCTACTGGGCAACCAGCTGGAAAAAGCTTTGCAGTGTTGCCCAGCCCAAAGGACGCAGGTGCAATTTACTTGGGACTGTTTGGTGGACATCATTTACTAGGTCCCCCAGTAGTGCCCTTTTACCTTTTTTTGGGGGAGGGTTCCCCTACGAAAATAGACTACAGCAAAAAGTTGGTACCCTTATTCTAGCCTCTCTACTGGAGAAGCTAGTTTAGGTGGAAATGTACCCTCCCGTCTATCATGGAACCTGCAGGCGTCCTAGAAGACCGGTTCCATGTTGGATGGGAGGATACGTCCAAGCACGGTGTTCCCCATTGCACTCCACAACAACGTGTTGCTCTTGAGATGCTCAGGTTTGCCTGGAACATCAGGTGTTTGGATGCTTCATTTGGGGGCAACAATTCTGAGTTTGTCTCAAAAGAAAGACGGATGGAGCATATGGAGCACAGAAAATGGAAGATGTCCTTTTGGCGTCCCTTTAACACAACCCTCAATGGGTAACCTCAACAAAAAGGATCCATCCCTTGTGATGTCCGTTACGTTCATATTCCCAAAGCAACAAAGGTGACTCCATATTGAAGAAGCAGAGCGAAGACAGATTTGCGACCTTGGGCGAATCGGACATGGATGTTGTTTTGTTCCAATTGCAGCAATGATTTCGTAACAGGAAATCTCCAATTGTTTTGGAAGTAGCCTTCCTCCCTCAATCATAGCACATATAACTAACGGTACCATGAAGATCAACTTCATCTGGAAAGAACCCATGTTAGTGGAAGCGGGGGAAATCAGTTCCCTGATTCGGATATGGACATTTGGACTTTTTTTTCAGGGTTCAGTTTTTCTCAGATGGCTAAGACAACCAACAGGAAAACAGCAATTCTTGGGGGGCATGCCATCACAGCCACGTTTATTTTTTTGGGGGTGTCTCAAAATGGGTGACCAGCTTCCGCTAGTTTCCCTAAAAAAAACAATCCAAACGAGGGGTGCCCCAACATGGTTGTTGTTGGGACACATTTTACATGTTTGCTTATGGTGGTTTAGTGGAAAATCCAACCACTTAACAGCTCACCTGTAAGTTTTTGCTCCCCTTCCAACGTCAACCAAGCTAACTTGAGATGCCCATTTGCCTCCACTGCCTCCCTGCCTGCACTGCCTCCACTGCCTCCACTGCCTCCGCTGCCTCCGCTGCCTCCGAATGACGTCAGGCTGCCTCCGGAGCTCCTGATCGGCGCCTTCTACGACCAAAGCGCCACATGGCGGAACTAGGTGCCCCAGCCAGGTGCCCTTTTACATCCTTTTACCGTTTCCTTTTTGGAAAGGGGAGGTTTCAACCCTACTAAAGTAGACAAAACCGAACTACAAACAAAAAAACAGAAGGAAAGGGTAACCAACTTATTCTAAGCTCTCTACTGGAGGAGGTAGGGAAATGACCCTCCAGCGCTCCAAGCCAAAGGGTCAGCTTAAGGTTTGCCCTGGCCCTGCCCCCAGAGGATTCCATGGAAGCTAGGGTTTCCTTTGGAAGACTTGGTTACATTTACAGAGGCCTTCAAGCCAGGGTTAGCCAAAGGACCAAGGACAGGTCTGGTTCGTAAAACCAAGAAACCGAAGGCCTTTTAGCCAAGGGCTGGTTGCATCTGTTTGAGTGGTTTTTTTAGGAGGCTTAAGCAGCCGGGTTTAACGGCTGCTAACCAGGCCCCCCTCCCCCCCCGCCGCCTCCCCCGACTTGGAATGGAGAAGTTGGCCACATGTTGTTTGAGCCGCCAGACCCCGGGCCCCTAAAAGGGTCGAACCTACAAACTGCTTGTTGTACTTCACTCGCCATCTCATACTTTCATTTGCTTTCACCTGGGGGCTGCTTGCCCGACATGAAGATTCACCCGCATCTTGTTAGCGGCCCCCTTGATTGGATGGGAGTGTGGGACCGCTGGATTTTCAGAAGTCTGTCAAGGCGCCTGGGTTGTCAAACAGCGTTGCACAGAGCTTTCCCACAAGATGACCAGACCAGGTAGCCCCTTGGTGTTCTTGAGCTTCAAACTGAGAAGATATGGGCATGGGTCAAAATCCAAATCGTACCCCCAGTGAACATCCCAATCCCCACTAAAATAGACTAAAATGGGTGGTGCACCTACTCCAAAATGGGATCCCATTGGTTTTGGCGAACAGCCGTATTTCTCTATTCGAATCGCGGCAGGGACTTCGGAGCAATGGGTGATTGTTCCTTAAGAATCTACCGCCTGAGACTCGTGTCCTCCATTTGTTTTGTTTATGGCTATTTGGATGGATCTTTGGACTTTAACTTTTAGGTTGAAACAGCTCAGAATTTCCGGGTATCCTTTTGCTATCCTCAAAATGGCAGCTATCCTTTTGCTTCCCTTTGCAAAAAAGGTGTACCAACTCCAAAAGAAGACCCACCCAAATGTTCACTCGCCGGCAAGAATGGAACGGTTAGGCCGATATTTGGTCCTTCGGCTGCTCGTTGGTGGAGCTCCTGACTGGGAAGCGGCCCTGGATGAAGCAGGCAGGCTCCCGAAGAACCTAAGTGGGCTCTGAAGACCCAGCAAATGAACGTGGAACCCAACAAGCAACTGATGACCTGGGAAGATGTGAATATCTGCACTGAGAAGTACTTCCCCGAAATCCAGTCCCCCCATCTGGCATGTTTGAGCTGGCTGAAAGTCCCTGGACCGTTCCTGAGGCCCTCTGAAGTGGGCCGCAAGCTTTCGGCGGGTTCCCTTTGGACATTGGGCTCCATGCGAATATGGGACTACGCTTCAAACAACCGCCAGTGGGTTTGCCTTCAAAGGCGGCTTTGGTTGTAACACGCTTTGCTCAACCCTGCCTTCCGGGCGAAAGCCCTTTGAACCCACCCCAAAACGGATACCAACTCCAAAAACGTGACACATCCACATGTTTCGCTTGTGGCCTGGTGACCTAGAGTGATGTTTGGTTTTTCACTGGTTTCTGCACATCCCGACAAATTCCTGGGAGCTGCCAAAAATGGATGGGACAGTTTTTGATTCAAAGCTGCTCGAGAAGAGCCGCCCCACACGCGGGGGATGGCAAAAGATTGCCCTTCCTCCCTTCACCTGGTACACCTCACTGGGTTCTTGAGCAAAGATATGGAAGGCGTTGGCCCGAAGCACCGGCAGGAATCGCCTGTTCTGCTCCTCAACTCCAGCAAGTTGGTCCCATTTCCCCATGTTGTTCAGAATGAATGCCGGAGGGATGGCTCGAGTGGTGAGAAATATGTCGTGTGCCTTTGAGGGACCCACGTGGGGTTGGTTCGAAACCAAACGGAAACCCGTAGCCCTTTTTAGGGGAGAGCCCAATCCGTATTTTGACACACCCATATTGGGGATACATGCCCCGCTTCGCACCACTCGGGTGGTATCCCGGTACTCACAAGGCTTTCTTCATGCCAACTGCTGCAGAATTAATTTTGGAGGTTGTCCATCCACAGTGGCACTTCCATAGAGTGAATAGGGCCTTCTGCTTGCCCTGCTAGTGGCATTTCTTACCGCAGCCATCTCGAAAGAATTGGTACTGTGGATGGACGAAATCCTGCACACAGTATCATTGACATCTTTGCTTGGCCGTTCTTTCCTCAGCGGGCCCCGACTCTCAATCCCAATGGGGAGAGCCTCCCAGCAATGGCGTTACAGAACTGAACCGGCGACTGGGGGGATGGTTTGGTCCATTTGTCTTAAGCGATTTGGTGTTTGTTGGCGGAAGGGTAACTAGGTCCCCCAGTAGTGCCCTTTTACCCTTTTTGGGGGAGGGTTCCCCTACTAAAATAGAGCACAAAAAGTTTGGTACTCTTATTCTAACCTCTCTACTGGAGGACCTAGTTGAGTTGAAGGTGTTGGTTGGCGGCAGGGTAATGAACTTTGACTTCAGGTTTTCCTTGATTGTCTCTTCATGTCCCTTCCTCCCTCAGATTCTAGATCTTTCAGGGCGCCGCCGGCAAAGCTTTGGTGAGTGAAAAAACATGGGGCCCCTCTTTTGGGTACCCCGGCAGAAGGCGGCAGAAGGCGGAGCACAGGGATTCCAGGCCGACCTAGGGTTTGGCAGTTTAGCTTGAGAGGGCAAATGGGGCGGATTTTATGCATGTGCAGGTTTGCCCGTGATAGACAAGTTGAACACCTCCTTTAGTCGCAGATGAAACAAAAATTAATGATCGTTGCAAGTCACATCGCGACCTTGCAGGGGTTCAAGCGAACGATAAAGTTCCGCTCTGAGCCGGGCCTTCCCGCTGCCCCAAGGTATGTGCTGTTTTCTGGTACCAGTTGGGGGTCCCCCTCCCTGTTTTGACCAAACCCAAGGGCAGGTAAACCGGAAACCGCCCCATAGCTGAGAGGAACCTGTGGCACTTCGCTTTCTTCGACTTCTTGTCAGCCGCACGTACTCACTTCCGCCGATTTTTTTCGGCTCACGGATCCAGCCGGGGCCAGGTCCGGGACTGTTTAGGAACATTTGAAGACCAGGTCCAGCTAGGTGCCCTTTCTCACTGTTTCTGTTTTGGTTGCGAGCTTTCCCCTACAAACATTGACTACAGAGAAAAGTTGGTACCCTTATTCTAACCTCTCTACTGGAGGACCTAGAAGAGCAAACCAGTGTGGACTTTGTTGGTTCATCGGTTAAACACATGATTAGTTTAAACCATGGCTTAACAAATGGCTTGACTCGCCCAGCTTCTCTTGGTTTCCGCATGTTTCCGCCATGAAGGTTTATGTGAAGACGCTCTTAGGGAAAACCATCCTGCTGGAGGTGGTGGAATCAGATACAGTCGACACCGTGAAGCAAATGCTTCAAGACCAGGTCGGGATTTTCGGATTCTTTTGCCGCCGTGAGTTGGCTGGTCTTTGGTGTGGCTTAAGCGTGGTTGTTGTTGGGAAACATTTTACATGTTTGCTTATTGTGGTTTTTTGGAAAATCCCCACTTAACTGCTAAACCTTAAATTGTTGCTCCTTCCAACGTCAACCAAGTAAAGTCTTTAAGCTCCCTAGTACCTTTTTGTAAGCAATTTTGCCTTCTCCGTTGCACCTTTGGAAGGTGATCGACGGGTTCGGGAAAGGAAGGGCAACCGAGTGAAGTGGATGTGGCCAATTGCTCAGTTTGGAGTCACCTATCTTGGTTCCCAGCGAATCGACTCTGGCTCCTTAGGCTTGGTGTGTAGTGGTTTTAATGGGGATCGGGATCAAGTTTCAGCCAAGAGGAAAACTTGTAGGGGATCTGAGGACAGACCAGCTATGCCTACAGAGTCGTGCCATCTACTGCCTAATCAGAGGGACTTAAGGAGAATCCCATGCGAGAAGGAGCGTCCGATTCCTCAGGGCCCAGTTGGTTGTGTCATAGTTGTGTTTTCCTTTTGGTTTCCCGTTATGGTTGTTGGTTGTTGGTTGCTGGTTGCTGGTTGTGTTAAACCAAGCTTTCCCCACCCCCCCACCTACGTTGGGCAGGAGGGAGTCCCACCTGACCAGCAGCGGCTCATCTTTTCCGGGGCGCAGCTCGAGGACGGCCGACGTCTCCTTTCCTATGGGATCAACGACGGGAAGACTCTGCACTTGGTCTTGGATCTGAGAGGCGCGCAGATGGGGGAGCGCGAACTTGAATTCAGGCGCCGAAATGGTGCAAGGGACTGGGGTCCATTTCTTGACTGAGGTCTTCCCATGGCTTTCCCTGAGGGCATCAACCTGGGCTTGTACCTTGGTGGTCAAAGATGGTGCCCTGCAAAAAGTCCCAGACTGAGAGCCATACGCTGGTGCGTATGTCGGCCCCTTGCATTCGGTACATGGCTTTGGGTAGACTAGTTGAATGCCAGGTTCCGATTGTGACCCAAGTTGGTGTTGCTTGTTGATTTTGTTCAAGGTTTCCTTGTTAGCTGGTTTGAAGGGAAACACAAGACAATTCGCAATCTTTTGGGGATCAGCTATTTAACAGATACAACCAATCACCTTTTTTGCGGCCCGGAGACGGTTTTTGATCTCCATTTTGCCGTTTGGTGAGCTAGCATGGGGCACCTGTTTCGCCCCAAGCCTGCTTTTAAAGGCCACTTACCCTTTTGGTTTGCGGCCCAATCAAGACGAAATCTGGTTTCCTTTACGGTTTGTGGGTTCTGTTCGCAAATGTGAAGCGGGTCCGGATCCTGAGCACGGGAAACAAGGTCACAGGGCTTGGCTCACTTTCTCGTAGGGCATCCTGAGTGATAAAGTCGCCCTGGGACCCGAACAAAACTTGGGCTCTTTGCCGCGAGGCATGATCAGCACCTTTACCTCAGCGGACGTGAGCAACCCTTTGATCCAGTATCTGATGCTCGAAGATCGCAGAGCAGCGCCTGTGCCTCTGAAGGAACTCCGCCAAAAGGCCAAAGCGCAGGCCTGGGTCTGCAACAACCCTTGAGGCCAAGCCAACAGGAGGTTCTTTCAACAAAGGTCCCCCAAAGAAGAAGAGCTGCATGGCCAAATCCCACATGGGGGATTTCAATGATTGAACCAACAATATTCTTGCAGGGGCGATCGGGTACTTAGTAAGTTCGTAAGCCAAGTTTTATGACCCACTCACCATTGTTACAAGTCTCCTTGATCCGCTTCCTGAGTACCCTGCCCCAGGTAGATCCTGGTTACCGGCCACTGCCAGGCAATTTTCCGGCGTTTTTAAGGTCCAAATCCCAACAGCAAGAGGCAGTGGTTGGGGGGGGGTGGTGGGCATTTCTCGTGGGCTCCCTTGGACTCAGTGCCCCAGGCCGCCGCCGACTTCCAGACCTTTCGGTTCAGGAAACTCGGCTGGGGCCTTTTGTTGAGCCTCGGTTTTTTTTTTTTTTTTTTTTTTTTTTTTTTTTTTTTTTTTTTTTTTTTTTTTTTTTTTTTTTTTTTTCGGCGGAGATGCCGAGGTATGAATTTTATTTTCTTTGTTTGGCCAACCAGAATTTTGGCCAAAGGGCCTCTGGTATTCATTTTCTTCACCTGAACATTGTTCCATATTGTTTTTCAAAAGGTAGAAACATGGGAGTTTCAGTGGGTCCAGGAAAGATGGGCGAATACTGGACCCCCCTGTGCGTGCTGTGCTTTGCTCCTTCCTGGACTTCATGTGGGACTCCCGGCCGAGCGACAGCTCGGATCTGCGGCTACGTTTCTCGGAGGAAGCTGTGCTCATGTTGCTCAGCTTCGCTTCAACTCAGGCGAGGTTCCGGCTTCCCAATTGTTCAGGCCATCCATTTCATGTTCAAATGACAGTGGGTCAAAAGCAATGGTACCATTTTGAGGTAGGTGAATTCACCACCCATTCTAGCCTATTTTAGTGGTTGGATTCCGATGTTTATTGGGGGTATGGGCTTTGGATTTTGACCCATGGCCAAGTAGATAAAGGGGCGGGAAGAGTTTGGAGATTCCAAACATCATGCTCTCGTTGCCCTTTGAAACACTATGAGCAAGAAGAAGAATTCAATCCTAGATCTGGGCGGAGCTTTTTGACCAGCTTCATTTTTAGTGTTCGTTCGTTTTTGCTTGGGGGGGAGCCCT